GAAAACTATCAGGACTATGGCTTAGCTGTTGACATGTTTAGTGGCAGCAGGGATAGCTGAACGTTTTGATATAAGATTTGTGTAGGTGGGCCTGAAAATAAGGGAGTGGTGGCAGTTTAGAAATCATGTCCTGATTTTTCAGCTTTTGCCAGCTCCCACTCTAGCTTGCCATTCATTCCTATGGGACAAATTTCGCCACAAGAACGACGATATTCCGTGAACCATTCGGCGAAACATTCCACAAAGTAAAAGCAATCCGATCGGGAACAATCTGCACGTTTTGGTAAATTTTGGTCTATGTAGTGTAAAAACTGTGGGAGGAGTTAGGGTGGCAAATTTGGCTATAATAAGAATAATAATAATATATATGTGAGATAACAATAAGTGGTCTTGCTATGCAAGAACACTTAAATATATGCAATATAGGTTTCTAGCACATAAAGTTGAAGGCAGCTCAAACACCCAAACCAGAGTCTCTCTCTCTGTTCCAGTCCAAGAGAAAATGCATGTAGTAGGAAGAGGGAGTGGTATGTTCTTATTGGTAGTTGAATATAGAAGAAAGAAAAAATATAGTGTAGTATATTCTCTGTGGTAATTCAGAGTAAGAAGAAGTGTACATACTGAGTATACAGCTCGAATAGCTCTACTTTGTTGCGCCTGGGCAGTATAATCCATGCCTGAGGATAACTGGTCTTTTCTCCAATAAGGTGCTCAGGTGCGTGATGCCCTGTAACTGTATTTGTGTGTGACTGCTTGCATGTAAATGTGTGTGACAGTGTGCCTGAAACTGTGTGTCTAACTGTGTGTATGTGCCTGTAACTGAATGTGTGACTGTTCTTGTAAATAAAATATTTATTTTTCTCCTTTGAGGGCTATAAGCAGCATGCTAGGCTGCAAGTGAGGACTGAAGTGCATCAAATTTTGACATTCTATAAGTATTTTTAACTTTGTTGGGGCATACACCACTCTGAGCCAACTTGCCTACTTGAGGGTATGATGCACCTGAGCGCCTTATTGTAGAGGAAAAAACAGAAGAAACACACAAGAAGGGTCAGGAGGTACACACAAAAGGATGTGTGGGTGCAGACTGACGCAAAGAACTTTAAAACTTGGGGGGTGCTAACATACATATTTACCACGGGTGCCAAGGCCTCTGGTTTGACTCCTTACTATTGGAGATGCCAGGATTCTCCAAGTACCATACCCACAGGTCTATGCGCCGGCCTGCTGGGGGTGCCCACCGGTATATTTCCTGGCAGGCTCCCCCTGTCTTGGGCCGCAGCGCTGGGCGAGTGGCTCGAGACACCTGCCAGCGCCAGGCCAAACCTCCAGGCGCCCGAAAATGGGGGCGCCAAGCGGAGCCCTGTCATGCGGCCCAGGATGAAGCCATCTGGCCACCTTAGGGTGCTCCCGAAACTGTGATAGGTAAGGCAGAACAGGCACCTGCTTACATTTATGGTAGCTGCCTGCTCTGCCGATAAATGCCAGTGACCGGAGGAGAGGGGGAAGGAGAAGGCAGGTGGCAAGGGAGGCTCTTCTTGCAGCTTCTCACTCCTCCCTCATGCCCTCTATGATGCCGGGAGCCAGAATATAACGTCATCCTGGCCCCGGTATACTAAATAAAGGGTGGGATGAGTAAAAAGCTGCACCCCGGGGAGTTAGGGAGGCTGGATGGGCCTCAAAAATTTTAATTGTTTGAGTCTGTGTGACAGTGTGTGAGTGTTTGACTGTCAGTGAGTATGTATCTGTGTGTGTGTGTGTGTGTCTGTCAGTGAGTGTCTACCTCTGTGTGTGTGTGTCAGTGAGTGAGTGTATGTATGTCAGTAAGTGTCTGTCTATGGGTGTATGTGTGTCTGCCTGTCAGTGAGTGTGTGTGTGTGTGTCAGTGAGTGAGTGTCTGTCTGTCAGTGAGTGTGAGTGTCTGTCTGTCAGTGAGTGTGTGTGTCTGTCTGTCAGTGAGTGTGTGTCTGTCTGTCTGTCAGTGAGTGTGTGTGTGTCTGTCTGTCAGTGAGTGTGTGTGTCTGTCAGTGAGTGTGTGTATGTCTGTCAGTGAATTTGTGTGTGTGAGTCTGTCAGTGAGTGAGTGACATGAGGGGGCCGCAAAATGGATCTTTGCCTAGGGCGGCTGAAATCCTTGCACCGGCCCTGCATACGCATTACAGTGAGCTGTATTAGAGTGTTCCTTTAATAGATATCCACTAACCCTGACACCCAAAAGAATGGTATTCCTAGATAGTGCATCACAGAAATTGTTCATAATGATTTACTACTTTTTCACTAGTTAGCATCTTAGCCATTTACCACCAACAGATTCAACTGTAATCATCAGGACCGTAACTTTTCTTATATCAATAAAACAAATGTACATATGTCAGGTTTAGTAAAGGCGTATATTAACCATTGCAGTGGCGAAACCATTGCAAGTGCCCCACACAAATATACACAGCCTGACACACACACACTGCCCCCACATACACATACACTGCCCCCACACACATACACTGCCTCCATACACACCCTCTCATACACACACTGCCCAGCACACATACACTGCCCACCCATACACATTGCCCCACATACACTGCCCGCCCACACACACACACTGCCTCCCATACGCACATTGCCCCCCACACACATACACAGCCCCCCATGCACTCATTGCCCGACACACACACTGCCACCCCATACACACATTGCCCTACACATTCACACACTACACACCTCACATATTGCTCTACTCACACACACCACTGCTCCTATGCCCTACTACAGCCCCGTATCCCAGCAGACTCCAGGTAAGTTGTCAAACTGTTCTTAAACGGTTTGACTACTTACTCTGGGAGGGGGTTCCGGCACTCCTGGCACCATAACCACTACACAGAGCTGTAGTTGTTATTGTGCATGGATTATTTCTTTAAATAATCTACAAGTGCCCCTCCTGAGATCACTTTCTGGATCCGCCCCTGAACCATTGAAATTAATATAAGGGGTCCAGGAGGCATAGTAGCAAGAAACGTCTAGCCCTTAATGGGTTAATGATATTCTATGTTGGGTAATCGTTTCCATAATGCTGTATTTGGTGCTATTTACAGACTTTAAAATCTTGTATTTCTGTACAATTTATAAAATATGAAATACTATATTTGCAAAATATAAATGTGGGGCACCATGACTGGATAAGAATTGAGAAATTTATGATTTGGAATTTTAAGCTAAACTAGGCAACCTGAAAAAATATCTGAATTCTTCTATATTTTCTCAGATGTGGCTAATTTTTTTATCTATAATTAATATGTAATGACCAAATATTTTTACTGTTTAAAGATGCTCCAGTATCATCAAGTATATTTCTAAGTCTCTTGTCCTGCTTGAACCATACATTTAAAGTATAAGAGAGAGAGGTAGTACTGATTATATTTTTAATTTACCAACATATTTGAGCATTTTCAGGGGTCAGGGTGCAAGGGTTAACCCTTTGAGTGCATTAGTCACTGGATGAGTTAATCTTCTGAAGTTCAGAATTCTTGAGGTAGAAGAGAAGGAAATCCTTGTGGTACACCCATCATTTTGTGATCTGTTGTGTCTGTGCTAGCTATGACAACTGTATTTTATTTTATTTATTTATTTAGCCGAACACGTGTGCTTGGAAATGAGGCATGGGAATATTAAACTCTAGGGAACTCAGATAAAATTTTGTTTATAAACATGTCTATATTAGCATATGTTGCTGTCTAGGAAATTTCTTGAATATATAAACAGCACCTAGTGAGTGCCATGCAGAATTGTTATTGGCCATAAAAGCATACCACAGCACTGCACTCTGAAACTTGGTGTGTACCACCGAAATTCAATGTGCAGTGCAGTCGATTATTTTCTTGACCAATAAAAGGTCTGCACAGCCTATTGTTGTATAAAAGGTCATTCTGAAGTAGTCCCTTTATAAAACAAAGGCCCAGAATGAAAAACTGCCCCCCTAAATATAATAAAATCTTGCCTTTATTCTAGTTTGCTGGTGTTGGCTCTGCCTTTGCTCTGTCTCCCTTTCAGCCAATCACAATCCTTTCCCACACTGTGCAGTACTGACCCAGGAAGCACCTCTAATAGCCATCTGAGGAGTGGCTACTGAAGGGAGCAATGGAAAAACTCCCTTTTCTCTGAAAAGACAGTGTTTACTGCAAAAAGCCTGCAGGGACTGACTATACCTGACTATACTAACCAAAACAATTACAATAGGCTGTAGTTGTTGTGGGGACTATAGTGTCCCTTTAATAACAAATGTGAGCACTCGAACAGGAAACTTTATATGCTTCCTGCAAAAGAACAATGGAGACGTGTGAAGTGATTGTCCTATGATAAGGATGCTTAAAGGGACACTCCAGGCACCCAGACCTAACTCCCACTACTCTTAACCCTGCGACTGTAATTATTGCAGTTTTTTTAATAAACTGCAATAATTACATTGCAGGGTTAACTCCACCTCTAGTGGCTGTCTACTAGACAGCCACTAGAGGGCACTTCCTGATTCATAGCAAAGATTTTCTTTGCTAGAGCGTCGCTGGATGTCCTCACGCTATGTGAAGACCTCCAGTGTCGCTCTATTCCCCATAGGAAAGCATTAAAAATATTTTTCAATGCTTTCCAATGTGGAGACCTAATGTGCGTGCGCGGCATTGCCTCGCATGCGCATTAGGTTTCCTCAGCCGGCGGGCGGGATCAGTCTCGCCCACCGACTAACGTAATTATTGGGAGGAGCGACGCCGACCCGAAACCACCGCCGAGGGACATCGGTGGGGTCTCAGGTAAGTGACCTGAAGGGGTTTTCACCCCTTCAGCTACCTGTGATGGGAGGTAGAGGGTACCTGCAGTGCCAGGAAAACAGATTGTGTGAGTTGGGTACATTTTATCTGCAGCATCAAGTAAAAACATTATCATTCAAAGTGTTATGGAATTTTTAAAAAAAAACAGCACATAATTTGTTATAATTAAATAATGCACACAACATCATGTCTCCCAACATTTCATTTATTTTATTGATCAAGGTTTTACTTGATGTAAGAGCACACAATAGGTATTTCTCAGACATGACAGTATGCTTCTAAAGTAACATGTCAAAGGTAACATCAGGACATATGGAGATGCAGAAAACAATCCCTGAGCGATATATTTTAGCATTTTTGGGGAGCAGGGTGTAAGTATAAAACCAGGGGTGCCCAATAGGTAAATCCTTAGATGTTTTAAAACTACAGCTTCCATGATGCTTAGTCATTCTAAAAGCATGCAAAGCATCATGGGAGTTGTGGTTCTACATTATGAAGATTTACCCTTTGGGCACCCCTGGATTAAACTATACAGACACAGTTAAATGCGCTTAATAAATAATCTCCACCTTGGGATGTAGATGTAGATTGTGCTGTTCTTCCAAAGTTGCTATTAAATCTATTGGGTTCATCCTAGGAGTATTGGTAAAACTGTCAAGTTATGCCTACATTATTTTATATCTATCAATTAGTAAACATGGTGCCTGAGAGAAATAGAAGATATAGTAAGGCTTATACTATCTGGGAGATGTTTAAAAAAACTTGTCATTTAAAAGTAGCAGGCACTGCAGAAGCAATTGGATATAATTTGGAATTGCATCTAAAATAAAAATAAAACAAGATAAGTGTGTAAAATCTGCTGCATAGTATTTATCTGCCTTAAAACCTTCAATAAACTACAAATGAAAAAAAAAAAAAAAAAATAGAATAAACATCCAAAATACAGGCTCAGGAGTAAGCTCTTGTTTGTTAACCACCGGAAGGCCACCTTGGTCTGGTCATAGTAACTGTGATATAATCTACAACGAAGAAGTGTGAGTTCCACTAAGACGCAGGTGAACAATTTAACAACCAAGAACCAAAAGCTGGTCTGATATTGAACCAGAGAGCGTACCCATAGTTCCCACACAGCGCAAGACTGGAAGGATAGCTCAGATGTTACTGATGAAGACAAACTCATTTCTAAACACATTTATTGTGGATTAAAGACACATTACTGGGAGAATAATTGGTGTGGAGCTGTGTTACACCTTCAGATGCATTAACAGTATAAATTGGGGGCGGGCCTGACATCTGAGCAGAGCAGAAGCATGCCTTGCAAGCTCCTGCTCCAAGCACTAATTTTAAGCATTAAATGGCCGCCAATCTGCAGATCAGACCACACAAACGCAACCGCATGCACGATGGCATCCTGGCGAACCAATGTTAAAATTGTGATGCTACTCATTGGATCACCCGACTCCTGACTTTGCGGCCTTTAGGCGGACCTGGAGTAGAAGAGACGGCCGCTCTCCTGGCATCCTGGTCGGCAGAGCAGATCAAGTAGATTGGTTCCCACCCCACCCCTGGACCAGTGGGGGATATCTTGGTCCCCACCAGAGAACTCTACTACATCTTCAAGGCACAGCAGCTTACCAGTATACTCACCTTACAGACAAGAAGCAAGTGGTGAAGCCAAGATGGCCGCCGCACCGACCAAGCACATGCTCCACTGTGAAATTATGTTTCAGGCAGTTTTCAACGCCCTGTGTGTGGCATTCACTTCAGCCGTGACCATGGAGGCCTCCAGCTCTGTACCAACAGCCTGTAACTCTCCAAGGCTGAGAGCAAAAAAGAGCAAGCATCCCACACAGCCTGCACCTGTGGTAAAGCCTACTCGCAGATCTCCCACACGGAGACACCCTGCCAGACGGAGGTCTTGCCGTTCTCACCTACCTGCATGCGGCTCAAGCACCCAAGCGGACCAGCGTTCTACGGAATATTGAAGACTCAGCCTGACTGCAGTGAGGAGAGTATATAACAGTGGGACCCGGTGGACAGCGATGAGATTTACAGCCTGTGATGGTCCTGTAGACCCTGATCACCTGCCTCAGCATGGCCTGCTGGCAACAGGCATTGGATAACCACAGAACTCTGAGCCCATTATACTCTCCCTGGTTTTATACTGTTTCCCTCTTCTCCTTACATAACGCTAAGCCCATTATTAAGTATGCATAGGCTGTAGCCAGTAGAGCTCCTCTAGGTGGTACTTCTCTCTCTTATCAGCATGTCTCAATCTCAACTGTTTTTATCTTCTTTTTCTTTTCCCTTTATTTTGTTATCATTAATGATGCAGACACACCATGATTCATTTTTAGTTGTGCACACATGCATACTGTTCTATCTTGTTTAATATTAATGCCTGTACAAGCCACGTAAAATACTCATGCATACCTAGCCTGTCAGGCCATGTTCTTAGCATCTAAACTTTTACTCCATTCATGAATATCTAACCTGATAACATGTGTTCCTATTATAAAAAAGTGGCTGCCTCGCTTAGGAGTATAATTTGTTTTAAGTTGTTGAATATGCCATTTGCCATCTGATTTAACTCCTTACTTACTATTCTGTACATTGTGAATCTTCTGCCATAATAAAAGAAAGATCGACAAAAAAAACAAAACAACAAAACAGTATAAATTGCCTAGAAAAGAGGGAAATTATAAAAGAGGATCAGAGGGATTTGGGTAAAAGAAAATGGACTGTCTTTCCTAAATAGGAACAATTGGGTGTTACTTAATATGGACACTAACGAATATAATGTCAAACTATGTCATTCCCATAAAACTAGCAAAATAAAAATCAATCTGATCCCTCCAGGCATCTTTGAAATTGTTACTCCTGCATAGATGCCTCAGTTAGATTGTCATATCCAATGCCCAAACCAGACCATACCAGCCAATCCTGCCCAATTAGTTAATTTAATTCCACCTAAATCATCTTTAGAGATAATTAGAGTTTGGTTGCTTCCTTCATTGACCCTCCCTATACTAACCACCCCATCCATCCCTGACCCACCTGTATACAATGTTAAGGGGATATTTCTTACTTACGAACTTTGTTTTCCAACTCCCTTTTCTAACCCTTGTTAGCCCTTTGAAGTCTCTACCCCATGTTAATACTGTACTGTTCCATAATACAAAAGTATAAAAATAAAAATTGTTGAAAAAAAATGATTCCTTCAAACAACAAATGTCCACTATAAAAACAACAAAGAACCCACTATACATATAATGTACACAAATCACAATACTTGCATATGACCAACACGTGCTTAGTCAAGAATTGTGGTACCTCACCAACCTCAGCCAATTACTAACTCAAGAGAGAAAACCTCACTGGCCTCAGCAAGTGTATCAGGCATTCATTGGTTGGAAAGATGTGACTCAAATGGTCTTCTGTAGCTCATTGGAATGTCTTGGTAGGTGAAATTCACACAGTTTTATATTTAAAAGATTTAAAAAGTTGTATTACGTCCGACTCAGTGGGGGAGATGTATCAAAGTGTTGTACTCCGTAAAGTTATAAAAGTGGCGTAATCAGCAATATTCTGGCTTATTCCATTTTCATCTGCTTATTCCATCGGTTTCTATTGTGACTGCCTCACTTTTTGAACTTTGGACTAGTTTTCAGAACAGGAAAATTTTGTAAATCTCCTATAATGTCCTTGGGATAGATTTCACATTGAAGCCATTGTTATATAGTCACAGGTCATTTTCCGTTTCTTAAGTTAATCAAAGGTTGAGCCGAATGTTATCAGTTTTTTTTTTTCTGCGTTTATAGTCATTCAAAACCCCTCCAAAGAAATAAAGAAATGTAACAAGGAGGAACTGTTATGTTCCTAAAAACTTGAAAATAAGTAACTAAGGAAATGAGTTGAACTTTGGCTCTGCAAAAAAACAAAAAACATGTAGTAATGAAGGAAGAATACATCATTCAGATACAACTGCTTGGACTGTTTCGTGTTTACGGAGCAATGTTGATCAATCCTAATAGCACTAGGCATTGAGCAGTTTTATGTGCTTTCTCAAATTAGGCATTTCTTCTTCTTCTGGAGGTGCACGCATTATGCTTTGTTCAAAGAAGAATGTAAATTTCACTCTACAGCAGAGGAGCAAGTGGAGGAGCTGGATGAGCTCAAAGGAGACTCTGCCAGAATAACAGAACAAACATCTTCTTCATTTTCTGTTACAATATTGTATTGCGTGAATTGCTGTGGGGAACAAATAATAATAATAAAAAAACGAAACATTAATAAATGAAAACCATGAATTTTGTGTTTTTTATTAAAATAATATTGTGATATTAATAGACAGAGTGCTCCGTTAATCCCCCCCTAATGTTATAATTAAATATATAAAGTTAAGTTAAGTTATTTCTGTACATATTATTATTGAGCGCTACTTTAAAAATGATTATGAGCCAACTACTGTGTAACGAAGAAGCACTCGGGCCCCTAGGATGCATATGTTGCAATTGGATGCTTCTCGTAGCGAAGCATTACATTCTCCATGAGAGGCATTTACAGTGTTTGATGAGGCTGAACACGAAGACTCTCAATTATGGAAAGCCTTCATGAAGAAGTTCTTTTAGTGGCTGTCTGACAATTCTGAAGTTACCATAAATGTGCTTTTTGGTGAATAAATTTCCCCTTTATGATCAAAGGGAAAACTGTTGGCAATGCCATTTGCAGAAAATCCTTAAAGTAAATACGTTTGGGGGAGGATTGGAAGTATTTTAGCTTTGTGAACAAAATGGGAAAAAAAAACAAAACAAAAAAACTACTAACAGGGTAAATTTGTGGGAGAGGTAATTTCTGATCAGATTTATACCCACCACGTCTATAATTAGTGTTCTAGTGGCAGAGTAGGAAACATGTCCTTCTGGTATCAGAGATCTTTGTATTAGAACCTCATCAGACTAATAGAGCTAAACACAAGACAAAGAGGATGAAAGTGTGACATGAGCTGCTGCCTCAGGAAAGTGACTGTCAGGAATGTTGTTCTTTAATTATAACCCATTTACCTACGTTTTTATCCACCCAACTCATTCTCTAAATGCCAGTTTCCGGAGCAAAGTTTGAAGTAATTTAAAAACAAATTAAATTAGAAATCGGTCCAAAAGATAGTTTCCTAGAGGAGAGCAGAGTCACATTTTCCATTTCATTAAGTGTTTACTGTAAAAAAAAAATGTTAAATACAAGATTCCTCCTCAGAGCGCCAAAGATATTAGCCATTCCTTTGGGAAATTCCATTACATATTTCTATAGAAGAAAGAGCAGCATAAAAACAAAGTGTACAAAGACATACACAAAGTTCAAATCGTTATAATTTTTTGGGGGGGGAAATGAAACTGGGAAACCAGTCAAGCAAGTGATAAAGATGCCAAAATGTATCTGAATAGACGGTAAGGAACAATACAAGTCACTGCATGGAACAGGAAGTCGTGTGCAGCTAGATTTAGACATTTTCTGGCAGAGCTTATGAAACAGCAATTAACCCCTCAGAAACAATTTAGCTTCAATAGTACAATGGCACATTTTTTTTTTTTCCACAATTATCCTTTTTCTTTGAGGTATCAGTAGAAATACAGACACTATTACCTACTAATGATACTTACAAAAAACAATCTTTCATAGTAAATATTACTGATCTCTCAATCAGTCCTGTCCCTGTACTATAATCAATCTCTTCGCAATGGAAACTCTAGCATACAAGTTCATTCCCATAGCATTGAGTAAAGGCAGGGGACGTACTCACATTCTAAAACACACAGGGTTTTCTCACACACACATTCAATTTACAGATACAGTATTTATATATATATATAAAGTGATGGAACTATTGCCGGTGCAGCAGTGCATCTGCACTGGGGCCCGCACTCTCAGGGGGCCCATTAGGTGGCCGATTATGTAAGGGCCACCCAAAGCCAATGTTTCCTTAGGGGCCCAGTCAGCGCTGCGGCCCTTTAATAGCACCACTGAGCCCTTCTAATGATGTCAGCGCTTGGAGCAAGTGACAGATGGTCTCTTCCTCCCAGCTAACACAGAGCCGCGCATTAGAGGAAAAGAGGAGGGAGTGGGGACTGGTAGACACTCCGACTCCCAATAACTTCAGGCAGCCGACTGGACCCCAGGAAAGTCATCCTCCTGAATCCTAAAAGAAAAAGGAGGGTGTCTAGAAAATGTTCATGTGTGTCTTTTTTTTGTGTATGTATATCTGTGTGTCTGTGTATCTGTATTTGTGTCATTCTGTATATCTGAATGTGTGTAATTCTGTGTGTCTGTATCTGAATATGTGTCAATGTGTATCTGAATGTGTGTTTGTGTGTGTGATCATCCTTGGGGGGAGGGTCCAGCAAATTCTTGCTATCTTCCTTAGTTCTACCACTTTGTATATGTATACATACATGTTGAGATGGTTTTCTATATTTTTGCAAAGTCCCTAAGCAGTGTATGGAGTTTGATATTTGCCTGTATTTACATCTGAATTGCCTCTAAAAGTAGCCTCTCTCTTAACTATAAGAAGTATTTATACCACAACATTTTTCTATCACCCTTCTTTGTGCCATACCTCTGTTAGTGACTGGTGGGAAACATGACTCCTGGCCTTGAATACCAGACACTGACACCTACTGATTGATAGCAGAGTGCAGGGCTGGCCCTGTCTAGGTTCCAATTGGTATTATGGACCCAGGCAACACTTAACGATCTGCTGTTTTTTATGGAATTCATTCCCATACCAGTATCCTACCTCAGTTAGCACCAGCAATCCCTTCATTATGTTGCTGCCCGGTCCATTTTTTATGATTTATAAATCTCCCTCTCATTGTTGGGATGGTGGGAATGCTGACAGGTTACAGGTACAATTGTTGATGAGGGAAAATATAGCTGGTGGGTATAAATAGGGGAGTATGATTAAGACAATATGACTGGGATCAATGAATAAGACTGTGGTGAGATAAACCCCAGAGAGGGAAAACTCTACAGGGCATGAATGGTCCCCAGATAAAATACCCTTCATCCTGCAGCCCTTGGGATGAAGAAAAGGGTAGAGGATCTCTTGTTAAACATCTAGTAAGTAATATTTGGGTCTCATTGGACCCTGCATCACACACACACACACACACACACACACACACACACACACACACACCCCACCACCACCACCCTTGTGAGTGTACTTATCAGGTTTTAGCAGCCAGTAAACATTAGCGACATTACACTCTATGACAACTGTTAATCTGATCATTCTGAGTTGCTTGTGGTGACATTTTGCAACTGGGGAACAACTGCTACTTGTTACTGTTAGCGACAGCTACTTTATTGAGTAACAGTTTGTCAGTAAAGCTCATCTAAAACATGAGAAGCAAACTTTAAAGGGACACTATAGTTACCAGAACAACTACAGCTTATTGTGTTTGTTCTGGTGAGCATAACCATTCCCTTCAGGCTTTTTGCAGTAAACACTGTCTTTTCAGAAAAAAATGCCATGTCTACATTAAAGCCTAGAGACACCTCCACTGGCCACTGCTGGATGGCTAATAGAGGTGCTTTCTCTGTTTTGCAGCACAGACGTTCAGCGTCTCCATTCTCTGCATGGAGACGCTGAACTTTCCTCATAGAGATGTATTGATCCAATTCATATCTATGAGGAGATGCTAATTGGTCAGGGCAGCGTTTTGCCATGCCCCCGCCCGCCTCATTGGAGATCTGTAGGAAAGCATTGGATTGGGTGAGATAATCAATTCTGATGATGTCAGCCAAAAACGGCGGATTGGGGGCAGGGCAACGTCTGTAGACCCGTGGAGATCTGGAAATTAGGTACATTTTAACCCTTTCTAAGTGGGCAAGGGAGGGCGGGGGAACTAGATAGTGTTTTTAACACTTTAGGGTCAGAAATACATGTTTGTGTTCCTGACCCTGTAGCGTTCCTTTTAAGTTTCAAATAGCATCCAAATGGATAAAAGATAATGATTTTTGATGAAATTTTGTTGTTGTGTTTCTGGAGTCCATAAAGCTATTGAGGTGCATGCTGTGTTGTGCTAAGTCAGCTTCTCTTTTGCTACTTGAGGGATTAATAAAGACCCTAACTTTCTGCAGCCTTCTACTACATTTAAGTATCTTGCTGCCTTAGAGTGTCAGTTACCTCAGTCTATTACTGACCTGTAGATACACTTATTCAAATTCTAAACACCTCTTGTACCACAACTATGACTCCACTCAAGTTTTTAATCCTTTTTACACTGAACACCCTATGTAATCTAACTCTGGCAATAACCCCTCTCCAACCTTAAACATCCCTTTGCCTACTCACTTCTAGCATTATTTTTTTTTTTTTATTAAGCAATTTTTCAAGTTTACAGTGAACATTTCCTTGTACAGTCTGTAAATCAAATTGTTGTCACGTGTACAGAAAAATATAGTCATCTTGTTGGGTTACATACATGTTTAACATAGTATTCACTTCAAACAGTTTTCAATGGTGTATCAACTGGGAAGAAAGGGTAAAGGTAGGAGGGGGGGGGGTATACAGGGGTTGAGAGTCCAAGTCCAAGTTGTTTAGTATTTGCTTTCTTTGCTTTCTTTGGGTTAGGTAGGAGGGAGGGAGGAGTTAGGAATCTTGAGGGATTCGCTTCGTGGGGTATTTTGTCACCCAGTAATTTGTTATATTGTTATTGTTGTTGTTACCTGTGATCGTGCAGGTGGCATAGTGTCTGTTGCTATAGTAGTTATCTCTGGAGGTGAGTTTTCGGATTGTGTGCTATGGTGCGGTGGGGAGGGGGAGGGTGGCTTCGTAGGTCTCCCAGACCTGCCAAGCCGTTTTCCAAAAGGTTGCTTTGGTAGAAAAAGCTGTTCTGCTTGCTATTTCATAGCGTTTAGTGGCGTTTATTGTTTGTATACATTGCGGCATGGTTGGTGCTTCAGCCTTTTTCCATGACCTACCAATTAGTGTTAGGGCTGCTATATTGATTTGGTAGATCAGGTATCTGATTGTTTTAGGGAGTTTTGGTGGGTAGTTGTGGAGTAATAGGCAGTCTGGGGTTTGTGGTATATGGATGCCTGTGCTGGCTTGGATTAGATTTGTCAGTGCGGACCAATAGGGTTGTAGTACTGGACATGTCCACCATATGTGGATCATCGATCCAGCTGTCGAGGTGCAACGCCAACATTTGTCAGAGGCCTCTGGGTACATCTGTTTGAGGCGTGTGGGCACTAAGTACCATCTATAGAGGATTTTTCTGGATAATTCAGTATGGTTGGCACTGAGTGTGAGGGTTTTGGGGGTAATAAATATCTTCCTCCACGTTGCTTCGGGGAGGGTTTGTCTTACGTCTTTTTCCCATGCTATGACGAAGGAGTGTCTAAATGTGGTGTTATGCTGTAATATGTTGGTGTATAGCAGTGAGAAGGTTTTTTGTGTTGGTGTCCGTTTGAGTATGGTTTTCTCAAAGCATGTTAGTGGAGGTTCGTTGGGCGTGACCTCCACTTCGTTTTGGTGTTTTGTTGCCCACGAGTGAAGTTGCCTGTGGGAGAAGTGGGCTGTTGTTGGGAGTCTATGAAGGTTTTGTACCTCTGTGAATGTTAGTAGGCGATTTTCTTGGTATAGTTGATGTATGTGATGTATACCATGTCATTCCCATAATTTGTGGTTAAAGTTTGGTATTATGGAGGGTATGGCAGATATTGGCATTGCTCTAGAGTATGGGGTTTGTGAGCAACATATATGTTTGATTTTTCCCCACACTTGTAGTGTCGCCGCGGTGGTCGGTAGTAGTGTGGTGTGTTGTGGCTTGTTTTGTTTGGGGGCCCAGATTAGTGCCATAAGATCATGTGGTTTGACCGCGTCTCTTTCTATTGTTACCCACTGGGGGGGTATGTTGTGACCGTGAAGTAGTATCATGCTATTTAGGATGGCTGCCTGGTAGTATATTTGGAGATTGGGTGCATTCATTCCGCCTTCAGGGGTTTTTTGGTAAAGGATACGAGCACTTACTCTTGGCATCTTATGATCCCAAATGAATTGGTTGAGTAGTTTTTGTGCTTCCTTGAAATATGTAGTTGGGAGGTGGATGGGCAAGGTTCTGAACAAGTATTGGAATTTGGGGATGATTATCATTTTTATGGCAGCTAGTCTGCCTGTCCATGAGAGGTATTTTTTTCGCCAGCTCGTTAATATGGTTCGGGTTTCCTTTAGGAGTTTTTGGTAGTTACCTTTATATAGGCCTAGGGTGGTGGGTGTGATGGTCAGTCCTAGGAAGGTGAGATTGTCTGATCTCCACTCAAAGTTGTATTGTTTGGTTAGAGGTGTATGTTGGGGTGTGTTTAGGCTTAGGGCTTGAGTCTTGGTTAGGTTGAGTTTATAATAGGAGCATCTGCTATATTCCTGTAGTAGTTGAAGAAATGTGGGGATAGAGCTGTGGGGGGTAGTAAGTGTGAGCAGAATATCGTCTGCGAACAGCGTGAGTTTGTGCTCACGCGGTCCAATTTGAACCCCATGGATGTCTGGGTTTTCCCTGATTAGTGCCGTGAGTGGCTCTAGCGCCAAGACATATAGCATCGGGGAAAGGGGGCACCCCTGCCTGGAGCCGTTCGAGATCTCGAACGGAATGGATGTGAACCCTCCTCCCACCACTTTAGCGGTCGGGTTGCTGTATAGGGTTTTTACTATTGAGATAAACGTATCTGGGAATCCATATTTCTGCAGGACCGCCAGGAGGAAGGGCCAGTGTAGTCTGTCAAACGCTTTTTCGGCGTCAAGTGAGAGAAATACACTGTGCTCCCTCCTCCGTAGGCTCTGTATTAGATTGATTACCTTGCGCGTTCCGTCGGCACCCTGCCGCCCTTTGATAAACCCCACTTGGTCTTGGTGGATAATCGCTGGGAGAATGTTAGCTAGTCTATTTGCATATATTTTAGCAATTATTTTTATGTCTGTATTTAACAGTGAGATCGGGCGTAGGTTTTGCCCTTTGTTTGGGATTTTGCCTGGTTTGGGGAGAGTCGTGATGTGTGCCATGAGCATATCTGCTGGCATTGTCCCTTGTGCGATCATCGTATTGTATGTTTGGAGTAGTTGTGGTGCCAATATGTTCGCGTATGTTTTATAGTAAAAATTTGGGAAACCATCTGGGCCTGGTGATTTACCCGGGGGAAGTGACAGTATTGTTTGGGTGATTTCTTGTCCTGAAATCGGGGTTTTCAGGGTTTCCGTATGGTGCTGGGGAATTTGCGGTAGGGATACCTTTGCCAGGAGGGATTGGATCTCAGATGTAGTGGGTTGGTGTGTTTGTGCGTCTGTTTTTAGATTGTAAAGCGTGGTGTAGTATTTGGCTAATTCATCCACTATGTTCTGTGGGTTGTACAGTTTTTTCCCCTCTGTGGTTAAGATGTATGGGATCTTATTTTGGGCGTATTTATGTCTTAGTTGTGTGGCAAGTAGTTTGCCTGTTTTGTTGTTCTGGGTGTAGTTTCGTGTTTTGAGTTTATGCATCATGTATGACATTTTTGTCATTGCGATAGTGTTCAGTTGATCTGTCAGATTCTCAATTTGTTTCATCAGGGTATCCGTAGGTTGTATATAGTGTTGTGCTGTGGCGTCTCTAAGATCTCTTAGGATCGTAATTTGTTCTTTTTGTGCTTGTTTTTTAAGGAACGATGCGCGGCTTAAGAGGAGCCCTCGCATGACTGATTTGTGAGCTTGCCAAATCATTATGGGCGAGGTTACCTTGTCATTATTTGTGGAGAAATATTCTGTGAGCTCTTTTTGGATGATATTGTGGAAGGTATCATTGTGCAGCAGGGATTCGTTCAATCTCCAGGGGGCATACCCTCTGGATGTAAACTGTGTTGCTATGGACATGACGTTGGGTGCATGGTCCGACCATACTATGTCTCCTATTTCACAGTGCAGTACTTTCCGGAGAAGTGGTCCAGTGGAGAGAATGTGATCTATTCTTGAGTGTGTTTTGTGGACTTGGGAATAGTGGGAGTACTGACGCTCTGTTGGGTGTAGGGCCCTCCATGTGTCGTAAAGGTTAAACTCCATTATTAGTTTCGTCATAGCTTGGCATTGTGGTTTGAGGTGATGTGTACGGGATTGTGAAGTAAGCAATGACGTGTCTAAAGTGTGGTCTAAAATGTGGTTTAAGTCTCCACAGACCATTGTATTTTCAGTTTTGATGGGCTCGAGTTTTGAGAGGACTTTGTGGAGGAAATTTCTTTGTTGTGTATTGGGGCTATATATGTTCACTATTGTGTACTTAACATCATTGATCATGCATAGGGCTATGAGAAACCTTCCCTGACCATCCGTGATCAGCTTGAGCAGCTCAAAGGAGAGGGATTTGTGGATAAGCAGGGAGACTCCTCTGGCTTTAGAGGTGTGTGCGGCGTGGAATTGTATGGGGTACTCGGCCAGGCCAAATTTGGGGATGCGGAGTTTTACAAAGTGTGTCTCCTGTATACATACTAGGTCTGCTTTGACCCGTTTGAGATCTTCCAGTAGTTTGTTGCGTTTGTGTGGAGTGTTGAGGCCCCTTGTATTGTGGGAGTAGATTTTCATGTTTGGGGTGGACTGTACCTGGGATAGGTGTTTCACTGCCATTTGTATGCGTGGTTAATGCCTACTTTCCCATTGGCTCTGAGGTTGAGGAGTATGATCTTGTTTTTGGAGGTGGTGATTGGAATATGTTCTGACTTTGTATTCTCATGGGTTAGGGGGTGAGGTTTGATGGGTACGGGTGTGGGTGACATAGGAAACTGGGAGGGGGGGTGGGAAGTTATATACAAAGTTCCCCGCCAAGGGGGAGTGGTGCAGTTTGGGTGCACCTTGGGGTTATCCGTATTGGTCATACGGTACTCGTGGCTACCTGGGCTCGTGGTAGCTTGTTGTGTGGTTTGGGAAGTCGTAACAGTTTTGTAACATTTAATATTAAACATTATTAGACATTATTAGAACAAGAGAAATAAGAGAAGAGAATAAAAGAGATACCAACATGCTTGTTATGAGCAGTACAAATGATACATGCATAAAAAGAAAAACCATGAGTAGACGAGCTCCACCTCTCCCCTCTCTCCCTGTGTGTGCTTAAGGTGAGCTGAGTTTTTTTTTTTTTTTTGTCATAAAGGCTTCGTGACCTTTTGTCGTCTCGTGTCCCAGTTATCGTGTACCTATGTCCCCTCTGTAGTTCGAGGTTGTCCCCATATGTCATGGCCTCCTTCTCCCACCGGCTGGGTGGCCTGTGGGATTGGTGGTCATGGTGTGTTGCATGTGGCATAAGTGTTGTTTGGTAGGCTGGTGTGGGGAATAGAGGTTGTGGGTATAGGTGGGTTGGTGGGATGCTGTGGTTGCAATACTTGCGTGTCTGGCAACCTGACTAAGAGATATCGGGAATGGAGAGAAGGTAGCGCCCAGTCCCAGTCCTTAGGCTTTTTTCCAGTCCTGGGTTACTTTGGTAGATGCAGGTAGGGGTGGCTGGCGTCCTGCTTGGGAAAGCTGTAGGCCCCATGCTTTTAGTGTCTTCATTCCATCTGCTGGCGTGGTCAGAGGGCTGAATTCGCCATTTCTCCACACAAGGAGTTTTGTGGGGTAGCCCCACCGGTACCTGATGTTGTGGTCCCTGAGAGTTGTTGTCACCTGCTGGAACGTTTTTCTTTTTTTCAGGGTCGCTTGGGATAGATCCGCGAAGATCCTGATGCCTGCAAATTCAGTTGGCAGGTGTGTTGTACGGCTAGATTTCAATATTATTTCTTTTACATGGAAATAATGGGCGCGCAATAGCACGTCTCTCGGTGTGGATGGTGGCAGGTGTTTTGGTTTCGGGATCCTATGGACGCGGTCCAGAAGCAGCATATCGGAGGGGATGTCCGGTGCTATCACGTTGAAGAGGTCTCGAACATATCTGGGTAAGTCGTCCTGGAGAACGGCCTCTGGTATCCCCCTTAAGCGGAGGTTGTTCCGCCTTGATCTGTCCTCGGCATCCATTAATTTTATTTCCATGGTTTCGATGGTGTGCTGTAAGTGGGAGACCTGTTCCGCCAGCTCATTGTGAGCTGTGGCGTGTTCCGCCATTTTTGTTTCAGTGCGGGTAGTTCTTGCGCCCAGGTCTAGGATGTCCTTGCGGAGCGTGTCCACGCTGGAGGTCCATGATTGAATCAGTCGTGCTGACAGTGCCTCCATGGCTTCTTGTAGGTGCTGCTTGGTTAAGGCGGTGTTTAGGGTTGGTTCCCCTGTCTCAGGGGATGAGCTGCCCTCGTCCGAGGAGCCTCCGCCATCCCGGGTTGCTGCCTGCACGTGCAGAGCCGTTTGGCTGGGTTTCTGCGTGAAGAATTTAAGTTTTGCTTCTTTGGAAGCATTCTTCTTGTGCTTGCCCTGCGACATGCTTGCTCTGGCCGTGTTTAACTTGCGTTATCGTCTGAGAAAATGCTTATTGTTAGAGCCCATGTGCCGCAGCAAAATTTTAAGCGGCCATTTTGCTCGGCGGTTAGCCACGCCCCCCCTAGCATTATTTTTTAACAATGCATGCAATTACACAGATGCACACTCACTATACTCACATATTAAAACACAATACAGTAGAAGCAGAACTATATATATTGTTATCAAATACCAAGATATAGTAAAAACAAAGAGAACATTACCTGCGCTCTGGCCTAAATCCCCATGTACATTTAAATAAAATGGAGGCTCTTTAGTTTTATTCCAATGGCCATTTGAATATATAAGCTCACCTGCCACGTCAAGGCTTTGTCTGATACCAGCAAAGTTTATTGTATAGAAGCCCAATAAAGGGTTAAATGTGAAAGGGTTTATAAAATACCCCTTCCAGTCTTACTGGAGATTCTTGGCTGATATCAGCATATCTAATGGCTAATGTAGGAACTCACCTATTGAGGCTTGCCTTGACGTGGCAGGTGAGCTTATATATTCAAATGGCCATTGGAATAAAACTAAAGAGCCTCCATTTTGTTTAAATGTACATGGGGATTTAGGCCAGAGTGCAGGTAACGTTCTCTTTGTTTTCACCATGTATTTTAAGCTGTTGGATACTAAGCTACTGCTGCTGTAAGCGTGGTGCCTTATCTTTGTGTTTAAATACCAATATATGATTTTAGACATCTTTATGCCTGCAATGTCCAGTTAATAAATTAAAGTCATTTTAGCTGCTGTTTATTTGCGGGGTTGGAAAGGGATGCCTTCAAATTATGTTCCTACAGGCACCTGACATGTAAATAGGGCCTGGGTGTCAGGATTATAAGTGATCCAGCATACAGAATAATATCACACCTAGAACTAAGGATAACTATTAACCGGACCTTAGAATGGCCAGACTTAACGTACCGGAGAATAGTCAAAATACTTGCCGAGGTCAGGGACACAGAACATGACACAACGATGAGTAAAGCCAAAAGTCAAGAATACCATAAATCAGGGAAGTCAAAACAAAGTCAAAGTCAAATACCAGAAAAAACACGAACAGGAACACACTCTCGGAACCCACGACTGAGCACTGACCAAAACGTAATTTGGGTTTAAATAACCCTCTTGAGGCTGTAAATGCCTCTGACCCCAAAACGAGAGTGCGCATCTATGACGTGTCGTCGCACACACGTTGGCGTCATCTTTGATATGGGCGAAGGTGAGTTTCCTATTAAAACCGGAATCGCAGCGGCCGGCGTCTCTAGGAATGTTGTACTTGCTGGGGACTGGAACAGAAGGAGGTCAGGCAGCGGTTTGCTGAGACCAAGTTAAATATACAACATCTCTTTTGGCGTGGCCGCTTAGTTTATGTACGACCACGCCGGCAGAAGAACCGGGAGCCGTGACACTGGGTAATTCTACCCCATTCCCACGTTTAAGATTTTTCTAACTTACTATGGGGGTCCTTTTCCATGAACATTACCATATAGTTTTTTGGTACACTACAACAAACTTACACTACCAGACTTATATCTTTAGTTTATCCCCCTGTCCACAATAATAACAATATTTACCTGAAAGTTGTTTTGGTTGCTGAAAGATTTTTCAAATATTTTTCCAGGATGAGGTATTGGAGGAAAAATGCATAAAAAAAATCTGTGATATACAAAAACAAAACAAAAACCAAACATAAATACATAATTTACATTTTATATTTAGCAAGTGTCACATTTGCATACTATTCACATTAAATAGATAGATGCTGTCTCTCCCAGCACAGTAACAACAACGAACACAGTTATGTTATGTGCATTTGCTACTTTGAAACGCTCTTTGTGACTGTTGACAACTTTCATTACCTGTTCTAATGTGATTATGGATATTTACAGATTTCTACATCTGCTTCTATCTTCTTAACTTATATAAAAATTGTATAAAATAAAACATTATCAATAAAGATTGTAAAAAAATTAATTATTTCCATAAAGTTCATCCATGTATTAATCTACACAAAGAAGTCCCAAGATTAGTTTTTTCTATTCTTACAAATAAACGATTTACCTTTTCATATAAATAACAGCAATGACTGTGAAGATGGTCACAGAGATAGGAATTACAGTAGCTAGGATGATATTTCTTGTCCAATAGTTGGGTTTCCCTAATAAAAAGAGATACAGAGATGTTCATGTTATAAACATAGAATACGGTCTCCTGGTTACACAGCTTACTTCTGTTAGCTTAAAGGGTTACTCCAACCGCCATGACCACTTCTGCTTTTTAAAGTGGTCATAGTGGTAGGTGTAAGGATGTGCAATGTTTCAGATGTGCAGTGTGTACTATTTAAAAAAAAAATAGTATATATGTGCTGGAGTAACACTTAATTAGTAAACTAAGCCTAGAAATCTGTACTTAACCGCTTGAATTTAACTGGACGCTTTCAGCCTCAGGTCTCTCCTATGCCCCTATTCTCACTTCACATGTGATAATTTATCTGTATAGTACAATTGGTCATTTTCTTTACTCCACAAACAGTCATGAGACCGTTTGAGTGCTTTGTTGCCAAATATATACTCCCTCTAAAACAGAGTCAATCAAGGCTGCAAGTAAGGACATTAATTCGGGATTATTCTAGCTCCTAGTGACTGAATAATCTAAATTTTATTAAAGACAGGAGGCGAATATTTGCTTATCTTTCTTTACTGTAACTCCCAGCAGCAAAGAAACAGTTAACAGCAGTGTAAAAAAGTTTAACCAATCAGTAAGCATTACAGTAGTATAAACTGTCATCAGGCTCCTCCCAATTCCTCTTTCTTGATGTAGCCGAACAGTCGTAGAGTCAACCATGTAAATGTAGAAACCTTAAAACGATGAACAGGTAACGGTGTAGGTATCCGGTAGGATGAAGGTAGTGATCAACCCGCAGGTAGATTCGAGACAGAAGGCAATTGATCTTCACACTAGGAGGAAGGAGAAACATCGTGAAAGTATGGTCTCTTTGGCAAGAGAAAAATCAAAGTAAATGCAGTGAACTGACTTCCAATTTAAGTGCAAGCTCTAACTTATGATAATTAACTGTGTGGTATGTAGAGTAAGTGACACACCTAGAATACAATAAACCAATGTACAATTGAAAGCGGTTTAGCATATAATAACGACCTAACGAGTATAGGCTAGGAAAAGAGAGGATGCTGGTCATAGTTAGAACTGGAGATAGTGCAGGATACTTACCTAAAAGGGTGGGTAAGGAGAATCCAGGGTGGGAAAATATTCGCCTCCTGTCTTTAATAAAATTTAGATTATTCAGTCACTAGGAGCTAGAATAATCCCGAATTTTATGGCAAGACAGGAGGCTTCATATTTGCTATTTTAAAGCACAGATAGCAAGGACAGAGAAACGTGTGGAGAATGTCTAAAATAAAAAGTACGGAAGGTGGATTCTCTAGACCAATCAGCGGAGGATAGAATCTCCGCTAAGGAACCTCCAGCTATGAGTGCCGAGGAGGCGGCTGCGCCTCTAACCGAGTGAGCTCCGAAAGATGCATCAATGCCAGCCAGGGCTAGAAGCCATTTAATCCATCGTGCAATGGTAGGGCACAAGACTGGTTTGTGAGGTCGTACATAAGATACCAGGAGGGGCCCAGTAGGTGCTCTGAGAGGGGTAGTGCGAGCGATATAGTGTCTTATACACCGGGCTACGCAGAGGAGGGGTTTCTCAGAGAAGTAAGGGTAGCTCACAGTAGATGAGTTGGTCTTGGTGCGTCTAGTGATATGAAAGTGCACCCCCTCCGGTGTGAAATCGAGGGCATGAAAGTCGAAAGCCCTGATGTCAGAAACTCTTCGGAAGGAGACCAAGCAAAGGAGGAGAGCTAATTTGGCTGACAATTGGCGTAGGGAGAGTGCCTCGTTGTCCGGCCAAGCTTCCAAGAACGTGAGCATGATGGCCACGTCCCAGAATTGATTATATTTGGGAGTCGGGGGTCTAGCGATGCGGAAGCCCCGCAAGAGTCTACAGACAGAAGGGTGTTTGCCTACTGAAGAACTTTCGATAGGAACGTGCGCTGCAGAAATAGCAGACCGAAACACGTTAATGGTCCGGTAGGATTTACCCTGGTCGAACAGAGACGACAGGAAATTGATAACATTAATTATAGATGTTGAAAAGGGATCAAGGTTCCTTTCCAAGCACCAGCAACTCCATAGACGCCATGCAGAGATGTAAGAGCGTCTGGTTCCCGGGGCCCATGAATCCCAAAGGAGTCCCTGAGCAGTTGTCGAAAGGCCTGAGACATTCCAAGATCCCCTGAAACGGTCCAAGCCACTAGTTGGAGATGATCCTGGATTGCCAATGGGTGAAAGTTGCCTGTCGGGTCTCTGAGGAGGTCGCAGGCGTTGGGTAGCAGCAGGGGGAAGTCCACAGACATTTCCAGGAGGTAAGGATACCATGGTTGGGCCCGCCATAGCGGGGTCACTAGTGTTATCTTGACACCCTGAGTTTTGAGGTGCTGTAGTGTGCGTGGAATCATGGAGAACGGAGGGAACGCATATGCCCCGGACATCGGCCACGTCTGTAGGAAGGCATCGACTGCAAGGCACGCTGGGTCCGGCAACCAGCTGTAAAAGGCGTCCGTCTGCCTGTTGAGGCGAGATGCAAAGAGGTCCAGGTTGAATGGCCCCCGGCAGACCTGGAGACGGTGAAATATCTGTGGATTCAGATGCCAATTGCTGGAGTCCCTCCAGTGTCGGGAGAACCAGTCTGCGACAAGGTTGTCTGATCCCGGTAGATATTCCGCTCGCAGGGAGATATTCCTGTCTAGGCAGAACTGATATAATTCTTTGGTCAGATCTGAAAGCATCTTTGATTTGGAACCTCCTAGATGATTCACGTAACGAACTGCGGACACGTTGTCCATCTTCAGCACCACGGAACAGTTGTAGACATCTTTGGCAAAACTGCGGATTGCGAATGAGCCTGCAATCAGTTCGAGGCAGTTGATATGAAGTGCTCGTTCCGAGTGGAACCAGAGTCCTCCTGTAGAGCTTTCCGAGCAGGTTGCGCCCCATCCGAGCAGACTTGCATCCGATTCCAGGATGAAGTCTGGTTGGGATCCGAAAATGGCTCTTCCATTCCAAGCGTCCATATGTTGTAGCCACCAATGGAGTTCGAGCCGGACTTCGTCCGTGAGTGTGATCTGTTGGTCGTAGGACGTCGACTGATGTAAGTATTGGGTCTTCAGGCGTTGCAGTGCCCGGTAGTGCAGTGGGGCAGGGAATATAGCCTGTATTGAGGCGGAGAGCAAGCCGATGGTGCGGGCTAGATCTCGCAGGCGGAGGTGTGGTGATATCAGTAACCTCCGAATGTCTTTTTTGATGGATTTGATTTTGGATGCCGGAAGTTGAAGGACTGCTTGAACAGAGTCTATCTGGAATCCCAGGAACTGTATCGTCTGGGACGGTGTTAAAGATGATTTCTGGTGATTGATCACGAAACCAAGATTCTGCAATAGGGCGGAGGTCATGCTTGTATGAAGGTGGAGAGTTTCTTGGTCTTGTGCCATGAGGAGGATATCGTCCAGATAGATTATGGATCGGATGCCTTGGGAGCGCAGTAAGGCCATCACTAGTTTCATTAGTTTGGTAAAGCACCAGGGTGCAGAAGATAGGCCGAAGGGGAGGCATGTGAACTGCCATAGTGCTTGTTCCCAATGAAACTGAAGGAGGCAGCGGTGTGCTGGTGTTACCGGCACCGTTAGGTAGGCATCCTTTAGGTCGAAGCGGGAGAACCAATCTCCCTCGGAGAGTAGGTCTCTCAATAAATGGATCCCCTCCATTTTGAAGTGACGGTATGCGATGAACTTGTTCAGATCTCTCAGGTTGATGACAGGTCGTAGACCTCCTGATTTTTTCTTGACTAGAAACAAGTTGTTTTTGAAGATCTGTGGGCCAACAACTCTTTCGATCGCACCATTGGTGAATAGATCGTTGAGTTCGCTCCGTAGAGTCGACTCGTCTAACTGTGACATTTTGATTGGGGTAGGAGGAAAATTTTGTATTGGTTCGATTGAAAAATCCAGGTGGAACCCGGACACCGTCTGAAGGATCCAAGGATCCTGAGTGAGTTGAGACCACTGTTGGGAAAAAAGGGTTAACCGGCCTGCAATAGGAATATGAGAATAAGGAAGGTCCATTACCTGTAGCAGTGCGACCGCGGAGGGAAGCGGATCCACGTCCTCGGATAGCTCCGCGAGTGGGAAAAAATTGTCTGTGGTGGAATCGGGTATTGCCCGAGTTCCAGGTGTCTGAAGGTCGAGGCCTGTAGCCTGTGAAGGCGGCTCTGCCAGTCGCTCGGCCTCTATAGCGACCAGCTCTTCCAGAAAAACGCTGAGTGCGAAATACCTTGCGAATGGAGGACTGTGCTTTTGTCAGTGTAGTAAAAACAGAGACGTGCTTACTTAGTTCTTTTATGAACTTGTCTCCAAATAACATGCCTTGAGCCTCTGGACCAAGTTCTTTAGTGCCCAATTCGGCAAGTTTGGCATCGATTTTATAAAGGACGGCCTTCCGCCGTTCAGTTGATATTGCCACATTGGCATTGCCTAAAAGGCATAAGGCTCTTTGTGCCCACTCTCGCACCATATGTGCATCAAATGTGCCACCTGATAAAGCCTCGTCTGCAATTATGAAGATTTGTATAAGTGGGCCCGCCACATCCATCAACTTGTCCTGAGTGGCTTTCAGACCCTGTTCTAGACCCTTACGGGGGTCTTTTCCTGACTTGGTTAGAAAGGTCACAAGGAAAGGGTCGAATTCGGGTGTATTGGCCACCTTGTCTGGGATAGAGGGGCGTGGGCATTCTGCCCTTAATTTGGCTCTCACCTCTTTTTCTAAAGGCCGACGGAGCCACATTCTGCAGTATTTGCCAATGTGGTCCGGGGGTGTCCATTCGGCCGATCTAGGGTGCCTGATGCATCTGGGGTCAAATAAAGGGCGGCCAGAGGTGTCAAATAAGGTATCCTCTTTCAAGTTAGGGTTTTCAGAGGTGAGATCAGACTCCAATTGGAATTCCTCTAGAGGAATGAGGGGGGTTCATTAGTTGCAGAATCGGAAGGGTAGAGGTCTGGGAATGTCTTATGAGGTGGAGCCTCAGTATCCGAGTGTTCTGCGTAGTATTCGTCTAATACGTGGAGATTATAATTAGAGGTTGAACCCTCAAATGCGTCAAAATCATGTTGGGAGGTTTGCTTGGGTTTAGAATAGGGCACTTTAGGGTGTTTAGCAGGCGCTTTGCCTTTACCGGCGGTGGCCCTATCGCCTTTCCAAGGGCGTTTGTTGGGTAATGGTCGCCGTAGGGGCTGGGATTGTCTGCTCGCGGAAAGCCGCTAAAGCTTTGGGTATAGATTCAGTAATGGCATTGAAAAGCCAAGCCTTAAGTTCGGCAGAAACTGCTGGTTCTGGCACATCCGACATAATGTCAGTAACAGTGGGGTCACCACAAGAGAAATTAATTATTATATTTACAATATATATAAAAAAAAATTTTTTTTTTTTTTTTTGTGCAGACAAATTAATTACAATGAGGCGGTGGACTTAGACTGCATGTAAAAAAGCAATTATCCTGTAAAAGTGGAGTTCGTCCACAATTCATCAGTGGGGTTCACCCAGAGAGAGAAGGACAATATAGTGTCCAAGATCTAATAACAGGTATGTGCCTGTGTTATCATATAGGGATTACCCTGTATAGAGACAGCAAAGGGGGTCACCCTTGAAGGAGAGGCTAGAGGGGGTCACCCTCAGAATAAAGGCTGGAGGGGGTCACCCTCAGAGTAAAGGCTAGAGGGGGTCACCCTCAGAATCAAGCAAGGATTTGTGTAAGCTGTGTTGGCAGTTATGCTGAAATCTGCAAGAAAAATTGAAGTTTTGAGTATTGGGTATGTCTTTAATTTTGTAAAATTAAAGGGTCTGGGGCTTTAAGAGAAAAAATATATACTTACCAAACGGCTGGGTCGCGTCCTGCAGTGAGAGCCGAGATGCGAGGGAACCGCCGCGCATAAGCCTGCCACAAGATGGCGCTGAGAGGGAAGCCCGGGAAAAGACTAATAGAAATGGCCGCGGCATGAAAAAAGGCGGGAAACGTCTCTATGGAGACGGCAGGGCAACACACATTGTGTGTGAGGGAACTGAGCGGCTGAGCGGACCGGCAAAATGCCAGGCGCTGCAGGGAAAGCGTTAGTGCTATGGAAATTAAACTGACAGTACAAAAAATAAAAGACTGAGGAAATGTTGAGGTAAATTGAGTTTGTGGGCTGACTGGAGTGTCAGCCCATGTAACATAAATAAATAGAAGCAAAGCACAGAAACATAAAAGGAAAAACTGTATGAGAAATATAAAAATATTAAAATAATATACAATATATATTAGTCAGTTAAACTAGAGAATTTAGTAGGAGTATAATTAGAATAGACTCACCTGGGAGGCTAAGCAGCAAAGAAAGAGGAATTGGGAGGAGCCTGATGACAGTTTATATTACTGTAATGCATACTGATTGGTTAAACTTTTTTACACTGCTGTTAACTGTTTCTTTGCTGCTGGGAGTTACAGTAAAGAAAGATAAGCAAATATGAAGCCTCCTGTCTTGCCATAAAATTAAAGGGCACCTGTCATGTCCGAACAACGTATATTTTTAAGTTTTGCTAGCAAATGTATAGATCAGGAGAAAAAAACAAACTATTTAAAAATAGTTTTTTCTCCCAGCTGTCAGTCAGTGCTTCAGCAGAAAAGATCTCCCACAAAAGGTTCCTCTGCTCTCCACCCATACAAATCACTGTGCATGTGCCAGCATGCAGGCAACTAAGCCGGCATGTTGATGTCATTGAAGATATTTGCTCTGTTTTATATGAAGAGCAACACCCACAAAGCACCAATAAATATTATAGGCTGTTCTTTAAAGTACAGAAATAATTTATTTTCATATCCTATCTGTATACCTAACTCAACATTAAGTATGAATATCTTTTCACAATTTTTGTTGTATTCATTTTTAACACATCAGGTTCAACTAAAGAAAAATAATATAAATAGATTTTTGTACCAAATATTTTTGGTAGTTAATGCTAACCCTATACCAACCTTACCCCGACTCTACAGCAACCATACTTATAACCCTATAAAAGTCAAAATAATTGTGAGAGCTCACAAATATAAAAACAAAATTTTTTTACCACAAATTGTACAGTTAAAACATGGTGCTGAGCCTGAAAGACAAGGGAATTGTACCAGAAAGGGACTGGGATAAATAGGATACTAGAAGTGGGTACCAGATACCCGCAAGGTACGGCTAGACAGACTAGGAGCTAAATATGAGCAAAAAATAATAAATCATTTATTAGTACAAAGATACATTAATACAAAAGTGTGTGCTCGTGTACAAAAAGTTAACAAAGTGATAGGTGTTAAACCGGTAACACTATCTAGAATTATACCAAAAACACTAAGAGTTCTAAGAATATATATCGCAGATCAAAGTAGCTCTGATAGGCTGGCCCTAGTGGTATATATAGAGATAGTGTCACAAGGAGTAATACTAATGGACTGGTATAAATATAGCTATATAGCAGGGTTTAGCTGTAAAGCAAGCTAGGCATTAGACTAGGGACATGAGAATAGATGTCCCCATAAATACCAAAATCGATCTCTGAGTGTAACTAATATAAGTAACTCAGAGCAACTGTCTCAAATAGTATATAGAGCAGCAATAGTTACTAAGTATTGGGACGGTGATAGTTACATTTAAACCCAACTAATACCGGAATAGTAGAATACTGTGGAGCTGTGCTGATTGCTTGATAATCAGAAATATAAATCGCACTATACTCCTAGAGTGTCTTATTAGGATAAAATAATAAACCTGAAAATCTACTGTGTAGCGATACCAGCTAAAAATAAGAACACTCGATAAGGTGAATGGAATGCTTACTGAGACTCTGCCTCAGATAGTGTCTGGGATAAATGTAGCCAGACACTAATGTGAGGACAGTGAGGGTGTCAGGATTTCTGTAGATGCCCAACACGCAGAACTTAAGTAGATATAAAGAAAATACCTAAAACGTATTACCGGACCTTAGAATGGCTGGATTTAATGTAAAAAGGCAAAAGACACAAGATAGGGAAAAGCAAGGAAAGGTATAATGCAAAGATAAACAAGCTAAAGGTCAAGAAATGGAGATATCAGAATAGTCAGGAGCAAAGCTAAAAGTCAAGGAATACAGAGATCGGATAGTCAATAAGGGGAGCCAAGGTCAGATACACAAGAAATCAATACAAGGAACACAAGACATCAATACAAGGAACACAAGACATCAATACAAGGAACAAAAGACATCAATACAAGGAACACAAGACATCAATACAAGGAACACAAGACATCAATACAAGGAACACAAGACATCAATACAAGGAACACAAGACATCAATACAAGGAGCACACTCTCTGATAACCAACTGGAAACCATGACAGGGCACAGAGAAATGGACAAACTAGGTTTAAATAGCTTAAGGCTGTAGGGAAACATGTGATCAAGTTTATGTGTGTAACACACCCATATTAAATTAATTGATCTGGCCTTTAAGGGTTAAACAGGAAACCCTTTATTTTTCACAGCAGCAGCGGGCGTCGCCCTTAATGATACAGAGCCGGCTGCTGAGAGAGGAGAAGTCACCTCTTGTGAGTGTTTGGCAGTAGCGATACACGCCCGCCGGGACCCATGCTGCCCTCTGACAGGCGTGACAGTACCCCCTCCTTGAAAACCGCCCACCGGTGAATTCTCTGGTGAGTATTTGGCAGTATTCCCCTTAGTTTGTGGGAATACCACTGTAGCGATACACGCTTGCCGGGACCCATGCTGCCCTCTGACAGGAGCAGAGCCAGCGGGCGGCGTGACAGAGGGTTAAATAGAACCTCACGATGAACGGGATAGTGGTAACTGTTGGTCTCAGGTCAACAGGACACTACTGTCATATAATACTAAAGTGAGAAACTGCCAGGCACTTGCTAGTACTGAGCTAAAATCCTCTCGTGCCTTCAAGGGCACCTGCTGCTAAACCTGCTAGGCTAAGACATCTAATTGCCCTAAGCATATACCAAATAGTAAAGGTGATGAAGAAAAAATAATAAATGTTAAGTTAATTAATAAAAAAACATGGTAGCAAGTCCGTGTTCTATTTCTAGATCATGAAAATAGCACGGTTAGGACCCTTTTACTATTTGGTATATGCTTAGAGCAATTAGATGTCTTAGCCTAGCGGATTTAGCAGCAGGTGCCCTTGATGGCACGAGAGGATTTTAGCTCAGTAATTCATGTCACTGGTCCACCGCCTTAAACCTACACCTGCTGTCCTCCTGCCTTACAGCACACTGAGATTGAGACATATTCTAATGGCTTTAAGGGATTAATCAGATTTCAGACTGTTCTTGTTTACATGATGTTTAACATATATTACTAAACAGAATATATATTGTCATGTAGCCACTTCTGCATTTAAGGGGGAACTTCCATTTCTTTTAATAATATGTTTACTTGTTCCTACATTTGACAAATATGTATTTGTAAAGTATGAAAAATAAAATCAGATGTAGAGGCCCACAGCTCATCATAACTGAGCTCCTCAATTTTAGCTCCCTGTCAATCATTGTTTTAAAGCGGCACAGTCATGCCGAACTTACCTATCCCCAATCTATTCCTCTTCTCTTCCTCTCTCGGGATCTGTTCTTCATTTCTTTCTGTCTGCTCTAGATTGCTCTAAATCTTAAGACAAAAGTAGGGACTATTTCTCTTATGGAGGTTACCTACGCTTGACCAGCAGAGGAACAAAGTGTGCTCCGTTTCCTATGGTCAAAGCCATTTTCCCACAATTCTCACCTTTCCTCCGTGATCTCGAGATGCTTCCTGTCAGTATTCCCGAATGTCCTGTCATTTAGAGAGACCGCCAGCGAACCCACCGAATTTCATCCTAACAGAATGAGAACAGTTTCTCCATTCGTGTTAGAACGCAATTCTGGACTTTGTTCGGATCGGAATTTCATTAGAATGAATGAAACTCCGATCCTATTCGTGCTGTGGCTGCATCTTGCTCCCGCTTAGTAGATAGCTCCCTAATTCCCACGGTATCAGGGAGCTATCTACCAAAAGGCTGAGAGACCTAAACTGGTCTTTCAGCCAACTTTACTAATACTAAGTAAAAATTACTTAGTATTAGTAAATTCTGCCCCTACTTGCTATGCCGCTAATAAAAAGTGAGCCTAAAAAACCCAAAAAACAAAACAAAAAAAACGATTGTATCCCCCCTCCCGAGGCCCACCTGTGCCACGCGAGTGGGGGCTATTAAACTGAAGGATGGACCTATTGCCCCCTCCAGGCCCCCACCCATGAGCGGGGGTGGGGGCCCTACATGAGCCTTTCCCCCCCCCGCGGAGCTCAATCTGCGCCGTGCCCTTTCCAGGTGAAGATGGATTCATTTTTAGTGTCAGGGTTTTATTTGTCTGGCTGATTTTTTTTTTTCACTCCGTTTTTTTTTTATTTTTTATTTGATAGGTTCGACTGGTATTGTGTTTTTTAATTTGGCCTTTTTTGGGGCTGAAAAAAGGTTTTAGAAAAAGGAACACTTCTAACGGTAAGTATGATTTTTTTTTCTCCAGGTATTTAGTTTTATTTATTTTTAGGGTGAGGCGGATAAGTAGGGATTCATTTAATTTTATTTTGGTGGGGTGGTGACTAGGGGCGTGGGGATCCCTAGTCCTGGGTGGTTATATTTACACTTAGCCCTCACCCGTCACCCAATAGGTCCCCCCCATTTTCATTTAGGGCCCCCACCTGCCACTTATGGGTGAGGGCTCGGGGGAAGGACCATAGGTCCCCCCCTTATTGTAATTTAGGGCCCCCACCCGCCGCTCATGGGTGGGGGCCGGGGTGAGGACAGTAGGGTCTTCCCCTCTTATTGTACTTGAGGGCACCCACCTGCCACTCATGGGTGGGGGCCAGAGGGGGAGGATAATAGTCATTTAGGGCATTGACATTGTCATTTAGGGCCCCCGCCCACAGCTCATGGGTTGGGGCCGGGGGGAGGACAATAGGCCCCCCCCTCATTTTCATTTAGGGCACCCACCTACCACTCATGGTTGGGGGCTGGGTGGGAAGGTAATAGGTCCCCCCTTCATTTTCATTTAGGGCCCCCATCCACTGCTTATGGGTGGGGACCCTATGTCCCCCGTTTTGTTGAATAGCCCCCACTCGCGGGCCACGGGTGGGGGCTTGGGGGGGACACATAAGGGGTGGTGTATTTTTACAACAGTGAGCAGCCACAGGCTGCTCACTGTTTAGTAGACATGTCCCTACTCGCGGCATAGTGAGTAGGGGCAGTCGGGAGATTTCAATCTCCCTTATGCTAGTATGGGGGTGATATTAGGACATGGGGGGCATGGGGGTGATATTAGGACATGGGGGGGCATGGGGGAGCCTTAGGAAGTGGCAGGGAGCCGGCAGCTCCATCCTTGTAATAACCTAAACGAACGAACACTGATATTCGGTGTTTGTTTGTTCGTCTGACATTTCTATTCATTCCTTCATCTTTCTGATGAATGAATAGATTAAATTCGTGTTAGAATGCTTTAACTGGGCATGCGCGGGAATTTCACAGCACTATCTAGTGTGGGCAGTTGACGTGTCACACAGGGACTTCATCTACCCACACAAAGATGGTGGCTCCCAGGACCAAAACAAAGATTAAAAAAGAAGTAATATAGGGGGCTTAGGGGTATTTGGGGGTGACTGGGGGGTAGTGGAGTCGGGAGTGGGGTTAAAACAAAAACTGGATTCGGCCATGACAGTGCTGCTTTAAGCTCTGTACTTTTTAGCACAGCTAAAAAAAGCATAGAAGAAGAAATGAAACAATGTTTATATTTCTCCACCTCATTTGCTCTGTTTGGCCAGATTTTGTCTGAACTGGATTATGATGTAATTTGCTAAATCTCTAATATAAATTTAATAGAAAAATTAGCATCTCATGAAAAGGTTAAAGGTGATTTTCAATGCATATTGAAAATGTGCATGGAAATTGAACAGTGGTGTACATTTTAGAGAAGTAAGTGTATTGGTCATTATAAAAACAAACATGTTTTAAAATATTTTACACAATGTCACAGTAATATCTGTTTTCTTAAAATGCAGTCTGGAGATTAAGAACATGTCTTCTGTTTTACCTAAAATATTTTTTTCCTCACTCCACTCACTCCAGGGGTATTCAGTGTCATATCTAGTTCTCAATTTTACTGTGTATTTGGCATCAGGATCTATATTTTCGATTTGCTTGCTGCTCCTCTCATTTTCCTGGGTAAAGGGTTCCTGTCATGACAAATACAACATAATTCATAAATGAAAGAGTATATATTTGATTACAACCATAGGCGTGCACAGCCTATTGCATTAGGGTGTGCACCCTAAAGCACAAACACACGCCGCGTGTGTGTGTGTATGTATATATATATAGATACATACACACACACATACACTGCTGTGTGTGCTGTGTGCTGTGAGGGTGCTGTTAGTGTGATGTGAGGGTGTTTGTGTGTGTGTTTGTGACTGTGCTGTTTGTGTGTGAGGGTGTTTGTGTGTATATGTTTGTCCTGTGAGGGTGCTGTTTGTGTGAGTGTCATGTATTTGTGAGGGTGCTGTTTGTGTGCTGTGTGTGAGGGTGTTGTGTTTTTTTTTAAAGGTGCTGTGTGTGTTTGTGAGGGTGCGGTTAGTGTACTGTGTGTGAGCTGTATGTGTGTAGGTGCTGTATGTGTGTAGGGATTTGGCAGATTAGTAAATCCTTGCTGCCATGTGCCATCCCTGGTGGTCCAGTGGAGAGTGAACTCTAGCCTGCGGGGCTAGAGTTAACTCTCGCGAGATCTGAGCGTTGCCGCAGCAACACTCGGATATCGCGAGAGGAACCTGGCGGAGCTTCTGTCTAGAGCTCCTTGGGTCCTCTCCTGCCTCCCTCCATGCTGCTGTGGGCCGATGAGGTAGATCTTTGGTCTCCCCGCCGGCCAATGGAGGCTTAGAGCAGAGCCGGCACTCAGATAGCGTGTGTGTATATATACGTACACACACACTCACATTCAGACACAAACACATACATACACTGACAGACGCACACACACTCACACAGACACACACACTCACAGACACTCACACAGACACACACATACACTCACAGACACACACACACACACGAACAAATTATTACATTTTAATTTAAAAAAAATGTCCACCCAGCCTCCTACCTGGAGTGCTGGCGTGGACTTTTCCCTGGGGTCCAGTGGGGCAGGAGCAGAGAGCAGACAGCTCCCTCGCCGCGGCTGAGCTGGGGGGGGGGGAATCCATCACCCCTTGCCCCCCCATGACAGGGGCAAGAGGTGAAACAGGGGATGCTGAGTGCCTGCAGGAACAGCGTTCCTGCTCAAAAAAAGTGCAGGAATGCTGTTCCTGCAGGACTCAAACCATAGGCGTGCCACGGGGCACACCCTGTGCGCACGCCTATGATTACAACATTATGTACACTGCAAGTCTGTTATCAGGGAAACCCTCCTGTAGATGTCTCTCCTACTTAATGTCAGCATAAGTTAAAGCAAAGTCTGTAGGGGGAAGTAGAGAGGAGGGGCAGGCACTGTGTGAGTGCAGCGGGAGAGAGGAGAGAAAGAGCGAGAATAATTTATCACACAATCTTTTGGAAGGCAACTTGAGAATGGACAGTGAGAACGGATACGTGTTTTTTTGACACAAAGTACAAATAAAGTATTGGAGTCTTCCAACCTGCTATGGAAAGCAAGTCAGTACAGGGGAGGGATGTCTTACAAGCGTAACACACACTGAAAACATGAGTGATGCTATCAGCAAGAGATCGGGTAATGGAAATAAATTAAAATATTAACTTTTAATAGTATTAATAGAACAAACACTTAATCGTATAACATGAGCCAAGCCAGAAGGTTAGAAAACTGCAAACTATATCTGTCATGACAGGTTCACTTTAAATATTAAGATACATTACATAGTTACATAGGTGAAAAGAACCTTTCACACATTTGTTTTTGCTGTTGATCCAAAAGTAGACAAAAAAAACAGGTATGAAGCAACAATCTAGGAAAAATTCCTTCTTGACCCCAGAATGGCAGTTGGATATCTCCTTGGATGAAGAATGGAGCTCCCTCACTATTCAATGTAGATGCCTAATTTTTTTGTTTTACTGCTTGCTAGACCCTTTCAATTTTTTCCTGTTTATTTTTATGTATATATTACATGAAACTCCGAGTCGAGTTTCAGTGGTTAGTCTCACATGTTGTTATAGCCTTTATACTTACTTTTATTATTATACAACGTGCTGTTTTCAACTATAGCATTTTATTGCTAAAATGTATTAACCAACTTGTATGTTCAACTATGCACACATATAATAAAGAATGTAAAACAAATAAATGCTATCCCTGTACTTTATGGTTTTGCAAGTTTTTATCCAATTGCTGTTTAAAGGACCACTCTAGGCACCCAGACCACTTCAGCTTAATGAAGTGGTCTTGGTGCCAGGTCCAGCTAGGTTTAACCCATTTTTTCATAAACATAGCAGTTTCAGAGAAACTGCTATGTTTATGAATGGGTTAAGCCTTCCCCTATTTCCTCTAGTGGCTGTCTCATTGACAGCCACTAGAGGCGCTTGCGTGCTTCTCACCGTGATTTTCACAGTGAGAGCACGCCAGCGTCCATAGGAAAGCATTATGAATGCTTTCCTATGCGACCGGCTGAATGCGCGCGCAGCTCTTGCCGCGCGTGCGCATTCAGCCCAGGAGGAGGAATGGAGGAGGAGAGAAGGAGGAGAGCTCTCCGCCCAGCGCTGGAAAAAGGTAAGTTTTTACCCCTTTCCCCTTTCCAGAGCCGGGCGGGAGGGGGTCCCTGAGGGTGGGGGCACCCTCAGGGCACTATAGTGCCAGGAAAACGAGTATGTTTTCCTGGCACTATAGTGGTCCTTTAAACATCTGGATGTCCAGATTACAAATAAAAAGGCATGTTCTATCTGTGCATGAGATATGGCAACCTTAGTTGGTCATGTTGGCATTGTCAGAGATGAATCCATCAGACTCATAAAAGCAAAATAATAATTAACATAGCATCCTAAAGAGCTCTCTATTTAGATTTTTCTATGTGCAATGAGGGTCTTGAACATAGACTATTTATTTGCACATTCTAAAAGTTTGCCAAAAGTTTAGAAGACTATTAAGATGGACATGTTTCTGCTCACTATGGCTTGAGGAACATCAACAGAGATTGCTCAACTAAGGAAGGGAGGGGGAAAAAGGGCACTACTCGCAAGGGAAAAGCTCAATATGTCCATTTCCAGCATGTCACGCTAACATTGGCATATTTTTTTGTACAGAATTGGCATTTGACAGTCCTGAACACAAGTGCAGACTTCTCTGTATGTGCCATGTTTTAAGCAGAAACGCTGCTCATACAGACTCCTACCACCATGACCACTTCAAATCACTAAAGTGGTCATGCTGAATGGAGTAAATGTTTAAATAATATTTCAGTAATTAACAAGCTGTGTCTGTGTGTGTTTGGGAACACTTACAAAAGGCTTAGGGAAAAAGCTATTTTATTTCCTCCTCTAATTTTTCCATTTTGTTCTCCGATCTCGGCCTCTAGTAAAACACGCTAAATATAGCTTTCAACCATTTCCACCTACAAACGGACTGTTAGAAAGGTTATGTTCAGTTATGAAAAGATAAGAATGAAACAAGTTAACAAGCAAGAAGAATCATTAGCAATGTCTCTTTTACAGAAAGCTATGACAGTTTTTAGTAGTTGTGATTTATTTTTCTAAATATTTGCATCTATTATTAATAGATTGAGTATAAGGGACACTGGTGCATGGCACAGGTAAAATGATACTTGGAGTGGTCATTTAATCAGTTTGCAATGTAAAACATTTACTTACCGTAGGCAGTGCTTTTTCATTATTTAAATTTAAAATATATAATTGATACTGATATGGTAATTTTCTTGATGGTTGACCGGATACATTCCAGCTGACATATACCTCCCCTTTATCATTTCTTGATATTTTGATGATTGGTGGAGGGAACTGCACTAGAAGAAGGAAACATTAAAAGAATGGTTTAAACTCTTATAATATTTTATTCTATGACAGTAAATAATTGCACCCACCAATTTATTACACTTTTGAAAAACTTGCACTTGGATTTGTCAACTCTTAGGGGAGTGTTCACTAAAAGTCAAGACCATATTTTTCAAATGCGTTACAAAACTTAAAAACAAAACAATAAGGGGTCAAATGCATACTGGGAAATATTATAATATCAGTAACGAGAGCGATACTTATATGGCTACTCTAAGTGTAAGCACAAAAACAACTTTAGCTTAAAGTGGCACTGTCATGGCCGAATCCTGTTTTTTTTTTTAACCCCCCTCCGGCCTCCACTACATCCAATTGACCCCCTAGTCACCCCCAAATGCCCCTAAGCCCCCCGCATTACCTATTTTTTATTCCTTATTTTCTGCCCTGATCTATATTCAGGGCGCCGCCATCTTTGTGTGGGTAGATGAAGTCCCTGTGGGACACGTCATCTGCCCACACTAGACAGACTGTGAGATTCCCGCACATGCCCAGTTAAACACCTGGACATGCGAACGGGAATTTCATCTATTCATTCATTCATCAGACAGACGAATGAGTGAATAGAAATATCAGCCGAACAAACAAACACTGTGTATCAGTGTATCTGAGTATCCGTGTTCGTTTGTTCATGCAGTTATGCAGTTTACCGGCACTCAGCTCCCTCCTTGTAATATGTAACTATAGAAGCGGCAGGGAGCAGTGCTCCCCACCACTTCATAAGCCCCCCTCCCAGGTCCCCCCTCACTCTATGGGGGTCAATATGACCCCCATAATAGCACAAGGGAGATTCAAATCTCCCCAATGCCCCTACTCGCTATACCACGAGTAGGGGCATGTCCACTAATCACTGTAAAAAAAACAACACAAAAAAAAACTATTTGCCCCCCCCGACCCCCACCCCTGCGCTGGGTGGGGGTCAAAATGATAATGGGGGCCTACTGCCCCCCCGACCCCCACCCCTCGGCGGCGGGTGGGGGCCATAAAGATAATGAGGGAGGGGGACCTACTGTCCACCCCCCCTCCGGCCCCCACCCCTAGGCGATGGGTGGGGGCCATAATGAATATGAGGGGGGGTCCTACTGCCGCCCCCGGCCCTCAACCGCTGGGAGGCGGGTGGGGGCCATAATGAGAATGGGGCCCTGGCGGCGGGTGGGGGCCATGAAGATAATGAGGGGGGGGACCTACTGTCCACCCCCCCTCCGGCCCCCACCCATGGGCGGCGGGTGGGGGCCATGAAAATAATGAGGGGGGACCTACTGTTCTCCCCCCTCCCCCCACCCCTGGGCGGCGGGTGGGGGCCAAATGATAATGAGGGGGTGGAGACCTACTGTCCTCCCCCCCCTGGGCAGCGGGTGGGGGCCCTAAGTCAATTTCCCCCCACCAGGGTGACTAGGGATCCCCAAGCCCCTAGTCACCCACCCCCCCACCCAAATAAAAAGGCCCTACCTACTCCCCTCACCCTAAAAAATAGTGAGGGGGGAATAAAATAACTAACCTGTAAAATAAAATTAAACTTACCATTCGACGTCTTCTTTTTTCTCAAATCTTCATTTTTCAGCCCCAAAAAAGGCCAAATAAAAAACCAACATAACCGTCGAATTGAAAATAAAATAAAAATCCTGAGCGCAAAAAAAAAAAACCTGACGAAAAAGAAAAAACCCGAGCGTAAAAAAATAATCCATCGTCACCCATGGAGGGCTGCGCGCAGAATGAGCTCCGCAGGGCGGGGCAAGGCTTATAAAGCCTTATAAAGCCTTGCCCCACCCTACAATTAGGCTAAGAACACTCTGATTGGTGGGTCTAAGCCAATCAGAGTGCTCTTTGTCATTTTACACAGTGTGGGAAAATTCAAAAGAACTTTCCCACGCTGTGTAAAATGACACAGAGCACTGTGATTGGATGGCTTGAAATCCATCCAATCCCAGTGCTCTGTGTCATTTTACACAGCATGGGAAAGTTCTTTTGAATTTTCCCACGCTGTGTAAAATGACACAGAGCACTGTGACTGGATGGCTTGAAATCCATCCAATCACAGTGCTCTGTGTCATTTTACACACCGTGGGAAAGTTCTTTTGAATTTTCCTACGCTGTATAAAATGACACAGAGCACTGGGATTGGATTGATTTCAAGCCATCCAATCACAGTGCTCTGTGTCATTTTACACAGCGTGGGAAAATTCAAAAGAACTTTCCCATGCTGTGTAAAATGACACAGAGCACTATGATTGGATGGATTTCACTGTGATTGGATTCCCCCGCCCTGCGGAGCTCAGTTTGCGTGGAGCCCTCCATGGGTGAAGATGGATTATTTTTTTGCGCTCGTGTTTTTTCTTTTTCGTTGGTTTTTTTTTTTTGCGCTCGGGATTTTTAGTTTATTTTCAATTCGATGGTTATGATGGTTTTTTATTTGGCCTTTTTTGGGGCTGAAAAATGAAGATTTGAGAAAAAAGAAGACATCGAATGGTAAGTTTTTAATTTTATTTTACAGGTTAGTTATTTTATTCCCCCCCCCTCATTATCATTATGACCCCCACCCAGCGCAGGTACTTTAGGGCCCCCACCCGTCGTTTAGGGGTGGGGGCCAATAGTTTTCTTTCTTTGTTTTTTTTTACAGTGAGCAGCCATAGGCTTTCAATTTCATTCGAATGAAATTCCGATCCGTATAATATGCCGAATTGCGTTCTAAAAGAAACGAACATACTGTTCTCATTCAGTTAGAACGCAATTCAGCAGTTTCGTGTAAAGTGACAGGAAGCATCGCGGGAACACAGAGGAAAGGTAAGGATCATGGGAAAATTGCTCTGACCAGTGGAAATAAAGTACACTTTGCTCCTCCGCTGGTCAGAGCTGGTCAAGCGGAGGAATCCTCCATAAGGCAAAGAGTCCCTACTTTGTCTTATGATTTTAAAGAAAACTAAAGAAGACAGGAAGAAAAGAAGAACAGATCATGAGAGAGGGGGAGAAGAGGAAGAGATTGAGGAAAGGTAAGTTCGGCATGACAGTGCCGCTTTAATGAAGTAGTCATACAGTCTCACTGCTCAATTCTCTGCCATTTAGGCATTAAATCACTTGTTCATGCATCCCTAGCCAGTACTTTACAGGGACAGAGCTATTTTTTTGACTTTGTACTTAAATGTTATGTTAAGTGATAAGAGTCTTGTAGACTAGCAATCAACTACAGTACTCTGCAAAGGCAAGTAGGAGAACCAACTCCGAAAGCTACCTTTTAAGATCAATTAACTATTGTAATTGCAAAATGGTGTATTTCACACATTGAATAACAGGTGGGAGAGGCGACACTATTTAACTTAGATTTTTTTTTAAATCTGTGTTATTTGATAGCACTGTGTTATGAATTCAATTGAATGAAATTGAAAGCTTGTTCAAATGACAACAATCAACATTTGGCATGAAAGGCACACTTTAAAAAACAATAATGTCAACAGACAGTTTTGAAGACTCTAATAGCTAAAGTTTAGAACTGTTCTGTATTGAAACAATATAATTTAAATAGTGTCTACCTTGAAATTTAGAAAGGCTGCTTTGTTACAGCAATTATTAAAAAAAATGCTTAGACATTTAGACCTTCAAAGCACCTAAGGTTTTATAGAGCATCATGCAAAAATCATTCATATTTTCTTTTCAATAAAACTTTTTTGGCGTAAGAAAAATAAAAATAAATTGACAATTAAACGGAGATGATTAGAGTCACATATACAGCTATACGTCCTTCATAAACCATTTAAAGATACACGTATAGCTGTCTCATTGCAATCAATTTAAAGTTGTACACTAGTCTCATATAAATATAGCTGACACAGAATTGTTTCATTCATGAACAAAAATCAACAAAACCCTTTGCGTAAGTTAATTTAGCATTTAGTCAGACGTGATTACCTTGCACAAGTTTTAATTATACTTTTTCCATAACTAAAATTAACAACAGGGAGCTCACCTGTATGTCAATAGGACGTTATGAAAGAGCTATATTAGATATATAGAAGGCCCTGCCAAAAAGGGGTTTAAATATTTGTACTGTATCACTATGGAGAAACCAGAAATAGTGGAGGGACACAAGTTCTTTCCTTTTTCAGTCCTACACGATCTCAAAAAAAATGGAGGGTCAGCTACAACCTCAATTGTGTATCACATACAACAATTCAAGTCTACATTGGTATTTGCTAAATATATAATGTTATTGCACTGAATAAAACATACATTTAGAAAAAGGTTTCATCCATGAGTAGAACGGCTCAATGTTTTTATTAATTACGTCTGCAACCACAAACTGAAGTTCTTCTGTTTCATTGGTAAATTCAAAATGGCATCCTACAGGAACCCCATTCTCATAGGTATACTGGCTGCAAGTCTGGGCCGTGTCTAAGAACTCTTCAAACCTATAAAAAATTCAAATCCAAATAGTTAGAACTGAAAACAGATTTAAAAGAAAACCAAACATTTACTATAATTGTCTTTTCCTAGCTTTTAGCCATGTCAGCACCACTTAAGAATTAAAGCTTCTCTGTCACCAATAATGCCCTTTATAGCTCACTGTGTCTGAATCTCATTTTATTTTTATTCTTATTTTAAAAAGCGCTATTTTTCATAAAACACATAAGGTGAAGTAGGGACTTCTTTTCCTTATGTTTAGGAGTAAAATTGACAAAAGCTGACAATAGTTGGAGCTTAAAGCAGATGTCGTGGACAGAGGAGAGCAAAATGGCTGCACCCAGGTTTTGAGAAAAGATAATAAATATAAATAAAGGCAAGTGGCAAGGGAGTATACTCAGCCAGAGTCAGTTACAGCAGCTGCATTTGAATGTGAGCCTAGGTAGAGAGGTGGCAGACTGTCAAAAAATTGAGCCGTTTTTTATTAGGTCCCTGCAAAATGCTAATGAAACGCTGCAGTGCTCTACAGGGTGAAGTAATGCAGCCCTACCCCAGTACCAACATCCCTAAAGGGGGATATTTTAACTTATACTAGCAACAACTGACTGTTTTGGACGTGAACCCAGGAAAGAAGTGGCCATCGCACACCTAAAACAAAAAAAGAATATAAAAAGTGGGCTAATGGTTCCTCTACAATCAATCTGCATTATCCGGTAGACATGGATAGCAAATCTTGGATATGTGATTTAAAAAAAAAATAAATACATTTCTTAAAGGACTATAGTGCCAGGAAAACACAAATTCACAATGCTTTCCTATGGACGCTGGCGTCTTCTCACGGTGAAAATCACAGTAAGAAGCACGCAAGCGCCTCTAGCGGCTGTCAATGAGACAGCCGCTAGAGGCTGGATTAACCCTAATATAAACATAGCAGTTTCTCTGAAACTGCTATGTTTATAGAAAAAAAGGGTTAACCCTAGCTGGACATTAAGCTGAAGTGGTCTGGGTGCCTATAGTGGTCCTTTAACTAAATCTGGTGAGAGCTTTGACCACTGGGGATTGATGATGTTGCCAGTGACCTGACTTTTTAGTTCCCAGTAAGAGGCTCTGTAATTGGAGACAAAGTAGGTTCTAACAGATATGCTTTCACCTATTCAGAGGTGGTACTCTGGGATGATCATGTGGCTCCACCCATTCCTCCCCTCCATGGCTCTAGTAAGAACCTTGACCCAAACGGTTGCTGCTCCACTCTCTATAGCTCCACGATCACAGACACCAGCTAAGGAGGAGGATCTCTGCTGCTCAGAGCTACACTGCAACAAGGAGTTTCACAATAATTTTTTTGAATTGTTGTTTCTCCTATTGTCACCTGCTGCTGATATTCCATCATACCTTTTTCTGCATCTCATGCACTTTATTAACTAGTTTGTCTTTCTATATAGGCACGGTATTACTTCTGACAGCTATATTAGGCTTTATTCTTGGTTCACAAATGGTAGCCAGCATTAACATTGGAGTGGTGTTGATCATTTCATGCACCTAAACTTTCAATAAAAAAAAAAAATAGAAATGAATATAGAAAAACTGCCATGTCTGAATGAACCTCTCTCCAGTTTCATCCTCTTGACTCTCTATGACTGGTTCCATGTTGCTCTTTACAACATGAATAATGGAATCACCTGCCCAAGGCTTGCTGTGGCTTGACTTAAATTGTCTTTGGGACCCTTGAAAGGCTTAAGTGCTGCCACTATCTGACCTATAGTTCCTCTTTCCCCAGTGAACATGCTCATGCTCATGCTCACTACTATGCTCCTTTCTTATGATAAGGATTGTATCGCTTTCTGCTAATCGAGGATGTGTTCCATCACCTCCAAGGTAGTGTTCTCCAGTGTCACAACATCTTGGATACAGTGGCAAACGTGCTTGATCTTGGTGCTCTTTCAACTTTTGACCAGCCCTCTCGCTGCTGTGTTAGTGTCTGGAAATCTATCAACATCTCTCTATTAGGCTCAGAGAGCCTTCAGAATGCTAGCTGAGCTGTGCTGCTGATCTATTATCTCTTCATGTAGAAAAGGTCTAAAACCTGCACTATCCCTACTCCTGTCACCTGATGTGCTTGATGCACATGAGACATTTTGGCTGCCACCAAAATGCCGTTAGAAACAAGAAAGCGTCCTTACACAGATCCCCCTTTAAAAGTGATGCACACGAGCATTGCAGACAGGATACTGCTTTCCTGCTAAATGTTGTTCTAGAAGCTGGTGGCATCAGGGCCGTCTTTAATAGTGATTGGACCCTGGGCAAGCATTTGCTTTGGCCCCCTGGACCCTGCTGCCCTCCCACTCCCTGGCATGCAATCATGCCTTACACTCCAACCCAGTGGCGGAACTAATGCAGAGAAGCCCTGGTACAAGAAAGTTGTTTGGGCCTCCCCCTCTAGCACAAGAGTGGCGAAAAGATACATCCCCATCTGTCATACAACTCCCACGATGCTATGCCAGCTGGGGATCTATACTTTGCCCATCCTTGTAGGGTTGTATTTGTGTGCAGTGTTTGTGCATTTGAATGTAAGCCTGTTTTTGTATAGAGTATATGTGTGCATGTAGAGGTGTATTTGTATGTACTATTACAATTGGAATGCAAAGGTGTACCTGTGTGTAGTGTTTGCGTTTGAATGCAGTGGTGTGTGTTTGTATGTATGGTTGACTTTTAAATGCAGGTGTGTAACTGTGAGTTGGTGTATGCATATCATTTTGGCATTTTAATACTGGGTTTTGTTTGTATGTAATATTTGCCTTCAGGGTTGTTATAGAATGTAGTGTTGTCTTCTAAACATTTGTGTATAGTATTGGTGTTTGGGTAAAGGGTGTGTTTTATATATAATTTTGAGTTTGAAATCAGGGGTGTGTTTGTCTGTAATGTTTGTGTTATCAGGGATGTGTTTGCATGTTGTTTTTGATTGCTGGGATGTATACACATACACAGTTACATACACCTCAACACACATATAAACATACTGACCCATGCACATACCTTGACACACAGATACACACACTGGCACATGCACACAAATTCTGATATGCACACTGGCACATAAACACTCAGATACACACTGACACAGTTACATACACATACACACAGATACACACACTCTGACATACATGTGATAATTTTTATGTTTGCAGCACGGCAGGAGCAGAGAGTTGGAGGAGGCACAAAGCTTGTAAATACTGATGCTGCTGTGGCAAGGCAAGCTGGTACTGTTATATGTAATGCACAACAAAAAAAAAGAATTTAAATATAAAATACAAAACAAATACACACCAATTATGTATCTCATCCTCTCATCACTTGTGCTTAAATGCAACTGCAGCAATAATTAAACTAATCTAAACAGAAAAAAAGCAGTGAGTGGGGGCACATAGTAGAAAGGCAGTGAGTGGGGGCACAGGGTAAAAAAAGCAGTGAGGGAGGAAGGCAGGAGCAGTGAGTGGGGGAAGGCAGGGCAGGGGCAGAGAGTGGGGGCACAGAGAAGAGAAGAAGTAAGTGGGGGAAGGCAGGGCAGGGGCAGAGAGTGGGGGCATAGAGAAGAGAAGGAGTGAGTAGAGGAAGGCAGGGCAGGGGCAGAGAGTGGGGGCACAGAGAAGATAAGAAGTGGGGAAGGCAGGGCAGGGCCAGAGAGTGGGGGCACAGAGAAGAGAAGAAGTGAGTGGGGGAAGGCAGGGCAGGGCAGAGATTGGGGGCACAGAGAAGAGAAGAAGTGAGTGGGGGAAGGCAGGGCAGGGGCAGAGAGTGGGGGCACAGAGAAGATAAGCAGTAAGTGGGGGCACAGAGAAGATAAGCAGTAAGTGGGGGAAAGCAGGGCAGGGGCATTGAGTGGGGTGGTTTTTCTAAAAACTATCCTAGCTGCAGCCATTCACGCAGAAGGAAAGGATCAGGGACTGGATACACTTACCTTCAACTCAGCTTAGAGCTGGCTGAGGCTGATGGGAGTGGGAATGAGCAGAAGCTCATTCTTGCCTCTCCCCCCCCATGCTGCTACCTGCTGCTGCCTCCTTCCTCCCGCGGTGCTCTCTGCTAAAGCTGGGAGGAAGTGATCGGCTGTCACTTCCTCCCATCCAGCTAAGACTACAGGGGCCCGGTCTGCTCTTAAAGGGCCATGGCACCCCACCGGGTGCCTGTTCAGAGACACCCATGCATGGGCCACCTGATAGGCCCCTCCAAATTGTTGTGGGCCCACAGGGCAGCTGCTTTGGGCCCCCCAGGAGTAACTGGGCCCAGGGCAGCTGCCCCGTTTGCCCTGTGTTAAAGACGGCCCTGGGTGGCATCAAAAGCCTGTATCATTTGTTTGAATGACTTACCTTTTACTGGGGCAAAATACACTCCCTGAACAGCAATAAGCTGCCTATTAATCTTGTCATCTTAATTGACATGCCCATGACATGTACAGGGCCAAATTCCTCAAGGGTCAGCTGACGGGCCTGGCATTGTCTTTTTGGGCCCCACCCCATAGTCTTTGGTGACTAGCTTGATCTTCTTCCTTATTCCCGGGACATGCAGAAGGTGCGACTGCTACTTGCCACACAGCCTGGATTTTGCCAAATGCCCCTCACCAACAGAATGAATATACTCTCACACTGTTCCCCTATGCTGTAGACCTGCTGGACGTTAAATGGGGATCTACTGCAGCTCTGCTCCTATTCCATTAAACAACTACTGCTACTTCATATTAAGTGCTACTAGTTACTTACTAGTAAGTGTGACACAGCTGGTTTCAGGGCAACTAGGGTAACTGCTGACTCTATCAAACTATGTACATTTACTACTACCACCCTTCTCTCTTTTTTTAATGAAATGTAGTCGTCACAGTAGTCTCCTGATCCTTCTCTTATTCCTGTGGATCCTTAACTAATTCCTCCTCTTCCTCCAGGCCTGTTACAATTTTCTCAAGCACTTTATCAGAGGAGGGTTCCAAGGTTATACATCTTCACACATTGCTGACACTAGTGATGAGTGACTTTCCATCACATCTCTGGTAAGGGTACTTAAACATAAACATAAATACAAAGAAAAACACGTGGACTGAATGAAGTGGAATATATATTCAGCGCACTAATTTTTTCAAGAAAAAAAGCTTTAAATTTGTTTTACTTTTTACAGATTTTTTTCATTTTTAAAGGACCACTATAGGCACCAGACCACTTCAGCTCAATGAAGTGATCTGGGTGCCAGGTCCCCGTAGTTTTAACCCTGCAGCTGTGAACATAGCAGTTCTTGAATAACAGCTAATAAACTGCAACTAAGATCCCCTACCCTGGACTGATGTAGGACACTACCAGCACCTTCCTTGTACTATGAAAACATAGTTAAACTAATTAAACTATTGGAAAAAAATTAGTCCTTTCTGTAATCAGTTTTTATTAACCAGCTCAATTTCTCTTAGACTAGAAAAAAAGACTGAACGCTGTCAGAATAGAACACAATTCAATCCAACATCTAACTCAACACAATCCAGTTAGTTCACTGGTCACTGTTAATTCATGCCCCTGCAAACCAGTTAAAAAGTAATCTGCTTTACACAGGTCAGTTTAATCAGTTCAAAAAAGGAGAAGGCAGATAAAATCTCCAGTGGTTAAGTTTTATTCTCTCTGTCGGACTAGTCTGTTCTGTCACTAGCTCCACAAACTAGCTAGCTAGCTAAAAGACTGCAGTCCAACAAGCCAACAGTGCTACACTGTTATTCAGCTTATACTGACTCACTCTCATTGTTCCAGCATCAATAGGAAATAAGAGCTAGTCAGGCAGTACTCGATACAAGTTCAACACTGGTCTCATTCGGTAGGAACATGACACTGATTGGCTCATAAAACATTAAATCAATCACACTCAAAAACACTCAAACTAGCATTGCATGATGATTGGTCTGTGAGTGTGATCACGGGATTGGTAATAAAACACGCTCACCAGACCTTGTGTTTGCCGGACTGTGATTGGCTGAATTTCATGTCGTTCACAATATTAACTAAATGATCAAATGTTGTTTGACCGACATTCGGTCATTGAGACATTCAGTCATTCTGACATTAGGAGAACAATGCTTTCCCTTTCTTTTCCTGACTAAATAACCAAAAACCAAAATTTTCTTTCTAGCTCCAAAACTGAATGCATATATCTAATTGGTAATATACAAATGTTACAGTATTTGACATAAACTGTACCAAAATGCAGCTAGATTACTTATCAAATAGTCTAGATTCTGTGAACTGTTGTGCAAATTCTTTTTTTCTGTTATAGCATACCACATTTTACAATTTTGTACCTTTACAACTGTAATTCTCTCTTTTGTACTATCTCACCTATAACTGAAGAAAATATTTGGAATCCTAGACAAGGTATTTGTAAAATCAAGGGATTTATATATAGCTGCGATTGTGTTAAAGTGTGAGCGCAACTGTTTGTGTTGCATTATTCCAGTTTATTTTTTCACATGTTAATATTGTATTCACATGTTAATCTTGGATTCACACTTAAGGGGTTAAGCTGAGCTTTTTTTTTACCTTTAATTTGGAATTCACATTGAATTCACTTTGAAATTACAGCAGAACTAATGCATAACAAAAACTTAAAAATGGATTCATCCACTAACATACGAATATCTCAGTCATTTATTAAAAATGTATTCAGTACTAAAGAGGTTTTTATATATATATATATATGTATATATATATATTTTTTTTTTTTAGATACACTCCCGGCCCACATCGATATATATTATCATTTTATCCTTTTATATAATTTCCATGTTACTTACAGTCGAGAATGAGGTACTTTTAGTTCCATGTTAGAACTCTCACTTTTCACCCTGAAACATATGGAAAAAAATATATAATTAAATTGCTTAATAATAGCAATTTAACATTGAAAGGCTTATTTTATCATTTAACCTCCACAAACGTAATTAACAGTTTCATCTAAACAGCTATTTTTTGTGGTCTGATTTAGACTGTTATATGTTTTTAAGATTACATTTTACTTAAATGTTTTCAATTTAGAGAATGAAAGCAGTTATATTGTTTAACGGCCATTTAAATATCAAAGCCACTGCATCTTGATCTTGTGGTTTTGATGCATAAATGCTTCCTCTTTCGTCTGACAGTGTAAAAGATTTCAAAACACCAGAAAAATCGCAATGTTTTCATTTGAACTAAATCGTACCTCTAGTGGCCTTCAGACTATTCTTGATATCCAAAAGACTTCACTGCCATCATCATTTTGCACAGGGTCCTTACAATTTTTTTGTTTTTGAAATCATTTACATTTTATTAACTTAACTTCAATTTTTAGGATATCACTTAACATTAGCTTTAATTACGATGTTTACTTCTGAGAATTTCACATTTATTTTTTATTTTAGAAGCCTGATTTAATGGTCAGAAGAGTATGACTCTAGGTAATCAGTTTGCAAGGCTTGAATAAATCAATTATTAAAAACATTATTTTATCTTGGGTATTTTATTTTTTCTAAAATCTAGTGAAGGCGTATTTTTTTTTTTAATAAAAATCGATGGAGGCCTTCTTCTTAAGCTTTGGGCAATTAGTGTTAGGGTAATTGTTCATCCCACTAGCACTTCAATTAACGGAAGGGAAGCATTCATACTAATTGAAATGAAAAGTATATGGGGAGACTTCGTATCACAATAAATGACAGACTAGCAGCCTAAGAGTTTCTAGATTGAAGAAGCACAGAAAGCAATATGATTATATAAAAATGCACAAGAAATATAAGGGGTGTTCGTTTTAGCTCTTAGAGTACCTTTAACAACACAATTAGCCTGACTTGCCTTTGAACATGTAGAAAAAAGTTGATTGAATAGTTTTTGGGTGCAAAGTGGTATTTAGAGTTATTTGGTTTTTCAGTGTTGTTGAAAATCTGTGAAAAGTGCAACTACTATTTCTTCTGCGCACTTTACACAGGTTTCTTATTCAAATTATGTAGATAAAAAAAAAATAAAAAAATTCCCACTGCCGACTTGTTATGGTAGACAAATGCATGAAAACCACTGAATAAACCAAAATGTAATCTCCTACAATTTAGAGTTGTATGAAACATGTGAATGTTGCTTGGAAGAAATTGAATTCATCCAGATTTCTTGAAAAAAAAAAAAAAAAGGATCAGACATGCTTACCCACCATTTGACAACTTTGGACTATGGACATTTAGAAGTGGGCATTTACTAAAATTAAAGTAAAAACGCAAACTCTACTAAGATAGTTCACATGAAGTTTTACCATGGCATCACTTACAATACTGCATAATGGCTTCATTTATATACTTCACTTATCACATCTTAGAACTGAGAGGAATTAACTTTATACTAACCAGTAATGTAAAGTGTAGTTGACTTTGGGAGGTGCTTTCTCTCCAGGTAACCATGTGCAATTGATGTACTTACTATTGTACCAAACACAGTTGAAATTTCTCACAGAAGTTTTTGCATTACCTACAAAGAGGAAAGCAATACACCATCATCAGGCTAAATACAACAGCAATAATTTTAGTTTCTATATTATAACTGTATCAAGATTTATCTAGTTACCAAAACAAATTTAGCTTAATGAATCAATTTTGGTGTATAGATTATCCCCCTGCAGTCTTACTGCTCAGCTCTCTGCCATTTAGGAGTTAACATTTTTTGTTTTCGTAGTCCTAGTCACACCTCCCTGCAAGGAACGTGAACATGCTTCCTAATCACTTCCTGTGATTAGATCTAAGTGAGATCTAATGTTTACACATCCTTTAAATTCTGTTTAATTTAGAATTTCTCATCTCATGTGCTATACCTCCTTGCAGGAGCTTCCTGTACGTGATTCAATTTATAGAACAGGAGATAAAACAATCTAAAGTAAGTTAACAGCTGATTGCAAATTAAGCCTTTTTTTCATGCAGGCTGTGACAGTCACATCCAGGGAAGGTGCATAAAAAGAAACAAAAGTGATCTAACTCCTAAATGGAAGAACTGAGCAGAGAGACTTCAGAGGCATGATCAATACACTAAAACTGCATCATTAAGCTAAAGTTGTTTTGGTGTCTCTAGTGTTCCTTAAAGGAGACCCTGTCACATAGTCAGAGTTTAAGAGAATTTTGTGGTGATCAGTATCAGTTGTTGCAGACATTCTAAGCAAGAAGACGTTATAGATTGGGTTTATGGTATGGTTGGTTTAAGTTTATCTGAAATTTGTGGTTGTTAAAGGACAACTGTCCTCAAATTTTCACTTCTCATTTTTTAAATGTTTATTACATTTAGTAAAACATAATGATTTTTTTATATTATGTATATTATTATTATTTTTGTAATTTTTTTTTCTAGCTCAACAGCAATGTTGTGTTAGTTGCTACTGTTATCTGTCCAACTGCTGCTTTTCCTAATTTTCCTGCTGTTCACAGAAGTAGCAGTTGGTAAAACAAAAGTTAACTTTGAAATACAGGCAGTACTCACTTACCAATCGGGTTCCGTTCTTATGACTCGGTCGTAAATCGAATTGGTCGCTAAGTAAGGATGTGCTTGCAAGCATACGCAAGAGAGCTGGTCTATGTCAGGGCAATTCCCCCAAACATAGACCGGTTCAGTAGCACAGGGAATCCCGCAAATCTATGTTCGGGGAAACTTCCCCAAACATAGATTAGCTTACTAGCTCAGGGAATCCATGAAATCTATGTTCGGGGAAGCTTCCCTGAACATAGACCAGCTCTCTAATGTGGGGAATCCCTTGAATCCCCATGCTAGAGAGCTGGTCATAAGCGCAAGCTGTCATAAAACAGGTAGGTCATTAATTGAAATCATACAAACAAACCTACCGAATGGCGCTCTCCTGACGTGTGTGGGGAAAGAGCAGGCGTTCGTGCAAGTTCACCGGTGTTCGGGAGTTTCAGTGTCCGATTTTAGTTCCACGATTTAGGGTAAGGGGTAAGGTTAGGGATAGGGTTAGGTTTGGGGTTAGTGTTAGGGTTAGGGTTAGGGTTGGGGTTAGGTTAGGGGTAGGGTTAGATTCCTGTCATCATTCCCTTCATTTTACCTCCCGCTCCTGTTTTGCCACATTTCAGAAATTCGAAGCACTTCAGCACTTCCGAAATTCGGCAATTCGGAAATTCAGCAATTTGGACAATCGGCAATTCGGACATTCGGAAGCATCTGAATGTTCAAATTACAGAAATACCTCCAAATTTAAATTCGGACTGAAACAAATTGCACATGTCTAGAACACAGGCGAACAGCTAGCATCGAACACCTACCCACGACCCCTATCCTTCTCTGAAGCCAGCTACTAGGAGAAAGTACAGAGGGAACATCTATGAGGATAGAAGTTTATTCCATGCGATGTGCTCCACTTATATGAATCATCTGTGAGTATTCATCTGACTCTGAAACCAACTTCTAATAGCACTTTTTTTTAGATGATACACAATCCTCAAATTATTATATTATTTATGTACTAGTAATTATTTTCATTTTGGGACATAGTCTAATACTATAGTAATACAGCTGATGCAGCATGTCTCCTGGCTTTTTCCATAGCAGAAGTTCCCATACTGCATATTACGAAGCTGATACATTGTGGACTACATTCTTACATTTACCTTGCATAGCTAATTTTCTATCTACTTGATCATATTTTGCCACCATTATATATCTTCAGTTTTATGTGATTTATAACAACTGACTTAATCACCACTCCTTTTACAACCCACCATTTAGTGAATACACAAATCTTGTATATTCTGTCCAAATATACCTTCTCCTGGTTAGGACTTTAGAATAGCTTTCTTTGCTTATCTACAGTGAGGGAAAAATGTATTTGATCCCCTGCTGATTTTGAACGTTTGCCCACTGACAAAGAAATAATCAGTCTATAATTTTAATGGTAGGTGTATTTTAACAGTGAGACACAGAATAACAACAACAACAAAAATTCAAAAAAATGCATGTCAAAAAAGTTATATATTGATTTGCATGTCAATGAGTGAAATAAGTATTTGACCCCTTTGACTTAGCACTTGGTGGCAAAACCCTTATTAGCAATCACAGAGGTCAGACATATCTTGTCGTTGGCCACCAGGTTTGTACACATCTCATGAGGGATTTTGTCCCACTCTTCTTTGCAGATCCTCTCCAAGTTATTAAGGTTTCGAGGCTGACATTTGGCAACTTGAACCTTCAGCTCCATCCACAAATTTTCTATGGGATTAACATAGATAGAAACATAGAAACATAGAATGTGACGGCAGATAAGAACCATTCGGCCCATCTAGTCTGCCCGATTTTCTAAATACTTTCATTAGTCCCTAGTCTTATCTTATAGTAAGGATAGCCTTATGCCTATCCCACGCATGCTTAAACTCCTTTACTGTGTTAACCTCTACCACTTCAGCTGGAAGGCTATTCCATGCATCCACTACCCTCTCAGTAAAGTAATACTTCCTGATATAATTTTTAAACCTTTTCCCCTCTAATTTAAGACTATGTCCTCTTTTTGTGGTAGTTTTTCTTCTTTTAAATAAAGTCTCCTCCTTTACTGTGTTGATTCCCTTTATGTATTTAAATGTTTCTGTCATATCCCCCCGTCTCGTCTTTCCTCCAAGCTATACATGTTAAGATCCTTTAACCTTTCCTTGTAAGTTTTATCCCACAATCCATGAACCAGTTTAGTAGCCCTTCTCTGAACTCTCTCTAAAGTATCAATATCCTTCTGAAGATACGGTCTCCAGTACTGTGTACAATACTCCAAGTGAGGTCTCACCAGTGTTCTGTACAATGGCATGAGCACTTCCCTCTTTCTACTGCTAATACCTCTCCCTATACAAGCAAGCATTCTGCTAGCATTTCCTGCTGCTCTATTACATTGTCTGCCTACCTTTAAGTCATCAGAAATAATCACCCCTAAATCCATTTCCTCATATGTTGAGGTTAGGACTCTATCAAATATTCTGTACTCTGCCCTTGGGTTTTTACGTCCAAGATGCATTATCTTGCACTTATCCACATTAAAATGTCAGTTGCCACAATTCTGACCATTTTTCTAGTTTACCTAAATCATTTGTCATTTGACTTATCCCTCCTGGAACATCAACCCTGTTACATATCTTAGTATCATCAGCAAAAATACATACCTTACCATCAAGACCTTCTGCAATATCACTAATAAAAATATTAAAGAGAATGGGTCCAAGTACAGATCCCTGAGGTACCCCACTGGTGATAAGTCCAAGCTTCGAATATATTCCATTAACTACAACCCTCTGTTGCCTGGAGACTGGCTAGGCCACTCCAGGACCTTAATGTGCTTATTTTTGAGTCATTCCTTTGTTGCCTTGGCTGTGTGCTTTGGGTCATTGTCATGTTTAAATACCCATCCACTATACAGAGAAAGGATTGGGGGCACACCCAAGACCTGCATTTTGCATGAAAGGTGCTGCCGCAGTGACCAAAGTTCATACATGACAAAAATAGTTGCGGCCCACTCAGACTACAAAAAATACAACATAAAGAAGGCTTCTAAATTGCCTATCTAAGAATAAATATGGTGATTTAGTTCCACCATATGGCCATATGATGTTAAGCTCACCACTACTTTCAAAGTACCCCAATGTTGGTGGGTCCTACGCTAAAATGTGGGGGACAAATTAAATAGTACTAGTGTTAAAAATAAAGTGTATTATTAAATCCTTGTAAGAGCAAAGTGAGTATACAAAAATAAAGTGATGAAAGCAATTAAAAACAGTGTTAAAACTAAACAATTAAAGTGTTAGTGCTAGAATGAATATACTCACTATTGCAGATTATATCTGTGTTGAATGGAGA